AGATAATGTGATTTCCAAATGTTGGGTGCAATAAGACATATCAAGTCTCTGCGCTGTCTATTGCTGCTTTTACACCCAACAGCACGAGATTTCACTTCGTTAAAGTATTGAAAGGGGACGGACGGACGGACACATTCATCTATTGCAGGCTGGTACACTCAGTTTACAACTTCGTTCCTACCAGTAAAACGCACCTCAATAGAACCCATTACAAATGTAGCAAAACATTGGTTTTAGTGAAAAAAAAAGTCATAATTGCGAAATGCAAAACTGCAAATATACGAGGCTACATATATAATTGCTCTTGAAAATTATAAACTTATTCCAAGTAGAACTTATTCAGAAACAAATTGATTTCCAATAATAAAAAATACAGCCAAACTAGACTGCTATAAACTGGAAATTGCATATTAGCTGACAGCTATAATCATAAATGCAAACATATTTTAACAAGCTGCCACACCAGATGTGACCACATAAGTAAGCAGTGGATTGATAGTTTCTGCATACACCAACACCTTGACCTGGGTTTTCCCAATCACGAATTTCACTTCAAGCCAAGTATAATTATGTTTAGTTCAATGATCATGCCCCTGTGGCTCGACCATTCGCAGTTGACTGCAAGATTCCTGCATGCATTGTAAGGGTAATGCTTGCGATGATACTGCCGCGAAAGAATACACGCACCACCTTGTCTCCATCTCGTCTCCCCGTGTGACCCAGTGCGGGTCCAAGTTCACATGTTCATAGCATCCAATGATGCAGTGAGGTTCTACTGACAGTTAAAGACGCTGCCATGGGCCTCTGGTCAACAAGTTTAGACTCGCAGTTCAAACAGCAAATAATCTGACTTGTTCGGATTGAGTTTCAGTCAGTTGTTAGACAACCAACTGTCGATATCTGACAGACAAGCAGACAGGGTAGTAAAGTTCTGCTTATCCGAACAGTAGGAGTGATAATATCAACCCCTGTGGGACTCCACACGTGATTGGCTGGGCTGAAGGGGAATGAGAGCCCATTATTTATATTTTGGGAGTGCTTGATCAACAATGACCTTAACCAATTGAGTACAGTCCCATAGATTCTCACATTCTGTTCTAGCCTTTGCAATAAAAGAGCATGGTCTATTATGGCAAACCCTGCTGAGAAGTCTAACAAGACTAACATAGTTGATCCCTCTTTATCTAGCACATGGTGTAACTCATCGACAATACCCAAGTCTCAGTGCTATGAAAGGGTTGAAATCCAGACTGGTTGGTGTCAAAAAGTCTGCCAGATAACAAATGGTCCTGTAACTGCATAGCAGCATGTTTTTTTATGAGTTTGCTTAAAAATTGTAGAATTCATATAGGCTGATAGTTATTACAATAATTATGGCCCAGGTTTGGTTTCTTTAGTAATGTTTCAACAGACGCAAGTTTCAAGTCATGAGGAAATACACCCTGACTGAATGATTGACGATTTTTAGCAGGATAGCACCCAAAATGTGAAGGCTCTGTTTGCCCAGTAATGAGAGATATGGATCACTGTCACAAAAAGTTGGCTTCATCTTTGTTAGGATTTCTGTGAGATCGGACATAGGGACTTGTCTGAACTCATGTAAACAGGGAGCCACAGAGTCTCTCACCTGAGGACTAGAGGGGGCTGAACCGACGGTATTGGGAATGGATATTCAGACAGCATACATTATAAAAAAATTTCGTCTCCCCCTCCTCTTTTCAGAATATAGATGGACTAGTCCTAAATAAACTGCCAAATCGTTGCGCGTGGTGCTAACGTTTTTTATAAATAAATAAATGCGCCGTTTAAAAATAAATTTATGCAAACCAACACACCTGAAGACGACCGTTTGAGTTATGGTCGAAACGTCGTGATAATTTTTTATTGTTTTATATATATTTTATTATTTTGTTGTTTCCCTTCAACGTGACTTTACCGAAAAAACTAAGCATATGATGAATTTTGTTTGAAAAAAATATTCAAAGGCATGACAGGTTTCCACTGACAACTTTGAATAAATGCTGAGGTCGACTCTTGTTTCAATCCTATTTGCAGAATACGTTTACTTGGCATCAACGATTTCTTGGTGATATTGTTTCCTAATCAGGAATAGGTTTTACCCTTTTAGCTGGCACAAAAACTGACACCTTTATTCAAGGCATCATGTTTGCAATAACCACAACACAAGCAGTCAAAATGCAAACAAAAAAGACAACTCTGATAATAATATGCACTGTCCTTGAATTTGATTGGTCCACACCCGAGACAGCTTTTCTTAGAGCCTAGTCTCTTTGTTTTGCATTTTGACTGCTTGTGTTGTGGTTATTGCAAACATGATGCCTTGAATAAAGGTGTCAGTTTTTGTGCCAGCTACAAGGGTAAAACCTATTCCTATATCTTGTTACTGGCAAAGGAGGTCTCATAATGTAAATGCTCACCCCGAGCCCTCAATACTCTGATAGTGCGCTGTTTTTGAGTTGTACGCCTTTTGGCGTCTTCTGGTCCAACACCAATGGAGACTAGGCTCTAAGAAAAGCTGTCTTGGGTGTGGACCAATCAAATTCAAGGACAGTGCATATTATTATCAGAGTTGTCTTTTTTGTTTGCATTTTGACTGCTTGTGTTGTGGTTATTGCAAATATGATGCCTTGAATAAAGGTGTCAGTTTTTGTGCCAGCTAAAAGGGTAAAACCTATTCCTATATCTTGTTACTGGCAAAGGAGGTCTCATGTTTCCTAATCAGTTTGAGTGAAAAAGTGTCAGCGAGCAGGCTGGTTTTACACCAACGGCGTTCAGCTGAGCGCAATTGCCTTCTGAGAATAATCAAGTTTTGTGTGAACGGGGGTTGAGGGGGCAAACGCGTAAGGCAAAATCATATTTTTGGAGCCATTGAGTCAAGAACGTTGGCGAGTGAAACGTTACACAGGTTTATTAACTTGGCAAGGTGAACTGTGGAGTTAATAGTCCGCAGTTCCTCCTGCAGAAATGGTGTCAGGTTATCAGTGGTTAATAATTCATCAGGTCTAATTAGAATGCTTTATTTTTTCATATGAGGATGAAAACGAGCTTTTATGTTAAGTTAAAATTAAATCAGAAAATTATCCGACCGGTGGACCTGAATCATTTACAAAATAGAAAATTGTGATCTGTGCAAAAAAATTACGTTCAGTGTATGTCCAGCTCAATGGCTTGGACTATTGACAGCTTGCATATAGTCTAGGCCAGGGGTTGGCAACCTGAGCCTCTGAAGCCGTATGCAGCTCTTTAAGCACTATTTTGTGACATTATGTAATAAGGACCACCGTCTCGTATTCACTACGTGCATTGCGGCTCTTGAAAGAGTTTTTTTAATGAATTCGAAAAATGGCTCTTCTTGTTATTTTGCTTGCCAACCCCTGGTTTAGGCTAAGCATGTCTGTGAATTTCGATTTAAAGCTTTCGTGACTGCAAGGATTCATCTTCTTTGGTTCTTTCGGTAAAGTCACGTAGAATGAGAATTAAATAATAAAATAACACAATAAAATTCTCACGACGTTTCAGCCACAACGCAAGCGGCCGTCTTCAGGTGAAAGGAACAGACCTGTCGGGACGTCGTCAATGAAGTTCTGTCGTCAATGAAGCTCTGTCGTCCCGACAGGTCTGTTCCTTTCACCTGAAGACGGCCGCTTGCGTTGTGGCCGAAACGTCGTGAGAATTTTATTGTGTCATTTTATTATTTTATTCTCATTCTACGTGACTTTACCGAAAGAACCAAAGAACATGTCTGTGAACTTGCAGGCGAACTTGTCATGGGGAGTGTTGGCCCAGGCACTGAAATTCCCCAGTATCAGGGAGAAAGGGGACTCCAGTGACAGGGTCATATACTCAGCTCAAAAATGTCATCCAACCAATCAGAATCTGAACCAGGGGGATGATAAACAATGGACAGTTTAAAGGAGTAATTGTTCTCAAACCAGCAATGAACATAGATATGCTAAGGACTTGAAATAAATGGCAGGCCTACAGATGCAGTGCTAATGATACTGAAAAATGACAGCCACACCACTACCACGTTTTGAGAGTCTATTCACTAGGTACATTTTATAACCATGGGGAAGGTGGTTTACTATGTCTGGAATGGATGACTTATGAAACTAGGTCTCTGTCAGGCAGGGAAATTGGGGTTTCAGCTCCTTGTTTTTTTTCTGATAAAGAGATAGCATGCCTAGCTGAAAATCTGGCATTAATGAGAAAAGCATCCATTCCCAGGATTAACTGAGAGTCATCAAGGATAGAAGTATGTTGTAAGGAATTAGGCGATGAGATTTTCTGGGTGAGATTTGTTCTTGTAAAGTTAATTGGTAAAATGTGATCGAAGATGGTATTATGAATGACAGGTGGCATGACAGTGACAGCATGAGGGTTAGGTACATCAATGTGGGCAGTGGTAGTGAGGAACAGAGGACTTGGGCCAACAAGTTGGGACGTAACCTTACAGTGGCAACCTGATCCATGATGCGTGTGGGGCGGCCGACGAAGTGCGTGCATTGATTTACACGTCCACAATAGGTCAACGTCTCTGGAGCGCAAAAATTCATCACAACCCTAATAAGGAGGCACGGGAATAGCTGGCCATTAGACAAGGGCCCAGAGAAAACCTACACACATCAGCCATACATCTATCTGCTATACCGCTTCATTGTCTTGCAGGTAGGTAGCTCACATATGGTCAATTTGTGCGTGATATACCAAGCCAACTCTATGACATTAAAGTATCAACGGTATGTCCATGAAGGGCAGTCAAAGCTTTGAATGTACAGCACAAAAAAGATGTTGCACTGACAGGATAAGATTATGAGTCAGAATGATGCATTATATTACAGAAAATATGTATTGATGTTCAGAAGTTACTACGCTGAGAAATTATTTTATATGTTTGCACGTATCCCTTTTAACATCTATTCTCCAACACAATTTTGATCACCGCAGGTAAAAAAAAACTGAAATGTAAAACACTTCACCTGATTGTTGAGGTTGTAGAGATACTTGGACACAAAGATGTGAATGTTTCGCATGATCTCCAGAACATCGAGTCCCTGCAATTAAAACAAACATTCACGTAATACCATGCACTTTCATAAATATTGCACCACACAATAAATACACTCTTCGTTTATTATACCTGCTACCAGTACCTGCCACTGCTCAATACCAGGTAGTGGTCTGATACCCTTGTGGGTACCATACCGGCCACTCAGGCAATCAACACTGGATCAATAATTTCAATTCTGCAGCTACCCAGGAATGCCGTAAGGGCATTCTCAGTGACATTTTATGACAGTTTGGACATCCTGCAATTATGTTTACAGAAATATTAATCTAAAGAACACTGGGTCAAAGGGTGATATCCCACCGACAACGTGCATGCATTGTAGCAGCGCAATTGCAGCGGCAATTGAAAGCTCAGCTGTGAGCTGGCACGAAATGCCTGCATTAGCCACTTTGTAAGCGAAAACAGCATGTGCCGACTGTGCGCTCGAGAAACGTTGAACAATGCACGACAAGGACTGCCCAAATAGTGCTTGATAGCAAACTCCTGGAGTGGCACAATACCACCAAACAGGTTAGGGTTTTCTTTATCCGCTGAGCCCTATTAACGTGGCAGCTGCGGTTAAGTGATTGTGGAAACGTCGGCAAGGGGAAGGATGATGTATAAAAGACAGCCTGTGCCGACTGGCTCTCGTGAAAACACAATCGCATGATTGTTGTAAGAAAGACAGCCCATCTGTCACCAGTCTAGTCCTTTTACTGTGTATTGAATTCGACGGTATATGTTTGAATGGCCAAGGTTTCAAATACGTGTGTGCCTCTTGAGAATTTATGAGGAGCTTTATTTATCCAAGTAGCTACTTCAGAGCCGGAGATGCGTGTGAGAGGGATACCACTGAAAGTAGCAGTGAGCACGGATGCTTATAACTTATAAACCAATAAAAATGAACCATAATAAAGGTTTTTGGGTTAGATCGCGTTTATTTATAAATGTGTCGTAACCCTCCACCACCCGACACGGCCAATCAGCAAAAAAAGTGTCACGTTGACAAAAGACAAATAATTCACTACTTTAGCCCACCGGTGTGTTGAAGAGTGAATCCACTCTCTCTCACTCTCTCTCACTAGAGTGAATCCACTCTCTCTCACTCTCTCTCACTAGACTCTCACCATCTGACACTGTTTTAGCCCGATGTATGAGCGTCTTGATAAGAGAGGATTTCTGAGCTGGATGATGATGTGATTCTGCATTCAGATAGGATTCAGTGTGCGTTTGCTTTCTGTAAACGCTGTGTGTTATTTTACCGTTTAGGCCATGTCCAAGCAAAATATCTAGGAATGGGAGTGTGTTATTCACCTCCATTTCCATGGTGAACTGGATGGACGAGTTTTGTGCATTGAGATGATTTAGAAAATCATTAAGTGTATCTTTACCATGTGGCCAGATAACCAAAGTGTCATCCACATATCTAAACCAAAAGGATGGTTTTAATGTGCTCGAGGCAAGTGCTCTTATTTCAAAGTTTTCCATGTACAAATTTGCTATAGCAGGGGATAAAGGAGAACCCATTGCTGCTCCTTCCTTTTGTTTAAAGAAATCCCCTCTCCATAAGAAGTAAGTGTTATTTAAACAATGGCCAGCAAGTTTCGGAATATCTTTTGGTAAACCGGTATTCTTTACTAGTGTAAACACGTTAAAGACGCACTACGACAGAATGGCTACAATAATGCTCAAATTAACAGAGCACTGAATGCCAAATCACGATCGCAAAGCAATACTGCTGAAAGCGAGCAGATTGTTAAAACAATAAAAATTCCATATATCTCAGGAGTAACTGACAAATTAGCCCGTGTTTTGCAAAAGCAAAACATTACAGTAAGATTTGGTACAGTACACAAAATTCAAAAACTAGTATCTTGCACTAAAGACGCATTACCTAAATTATCAACAGAAGGTGTATATCGGATTAATTGTTTATGTGGAAGCTGCTACATTGGGCAGACGGGACGTAACATCAGCGTAAGACTAAAAGAACATCAGAGAAATATTAAATTATCTCAAACACAACTCTCGGCAGTGGCAGAACATGCTTGTCAACAAGGACACTCAATTGATTTTGACAATGTTGCAGTGGTGTGTAAAACTAATTATTACTGGCAAAGACTAATTAGAGAATCCATTGAAATTGAGAGGAACAAGAATAACTTTAATCGCTCTGACAGCTACAGGCTTAGTGCAGCCTGGAAGCGCATTATTAAATAATACACATTACATTTTGATTTAAAGAATTACTAATCTACAACTCATTACTAATCATAACCAATGACTGATTACTAATCGATTATATAATTACAATACCCCCCCCTCCGCCTCTAATCACTGCACCTGATATGAGTTAAGTGATGACGTCACCCTGCTACTCTATATAAAACCGGGAGCAAGCGAGGGCTTTACCATTCTGGCGAATTGCCCGATGATGCTGGATGTATTTACCAGCGAAACGTCGTACTCAAACTGTAAATGTGGATTCACTCTTCAACACACCGGTGGGCTAAAGTAGTGAATTATTTGTCTTTTGTCAACATGACACTTTTTTTGCTGATTGGAGGGTTACGACACATTTATAAATAAACGCGATCTAACCCAAAAACCTTTATTATGAATAATATTGGTCGCGAAAGCCTACATGTTAAAAATGAACCAGCCATTCACAATTAACTGTACGTAAAATACTTTATTCACAGGAGAAATCCACCATCCTATAAATGTGGCTCAGATGCATCACTATTGATTTTGCCATATGGAGACAATTGAGGCAACTGCCTCATTTACAGGGATGTCCTTGAATCAAAATCACAAGATTAGCATCAGTCCATTGTCTTTCTAATACAATGGACATTGGATTTAAATTGCATGCAAATGCATCTGTACAAAAACAGTGGGAATATTTAGTTTAGATATAGGCAGTCAATCATAGGCATGACTTAGAGAGAGACTGGTCCTTGTTTTTGTGTTATCCCGATTTGATTACCGCAAAGCGTTACTGTTCAGGATTCCGAGTACGGTGCTGGGTACACTCCGGCCTGTTCATTGCGTTTGTTTCTCAATCCGCTGGTCTGCTAGACTGTTTACGCCCACACTGTTTTGCGAGCACATCACACCTCGCTCTCTTGCCATTGCACTGGCTACCAGTCAAGTATCGAGGGGACGATAAGATCCTAATGCTGATCTACAAGGCTCTCAATGGGTTAGCCCTACAATATTTGCAGGAAGCGATCCGTGTTTACGCTGCCAACGAGGTATCCGAGCTATTCGGATCGCCTTCTTCTAAGTACTCCGAGGTCAAGGTTAATTTCCTGGAGTGATCAGCTTTTGAGAGTGCAGCTCCCAAACGATGTAACGCATTGCCTTTGGTAATTAATCAGACAGAGTAGTTAAGAGCTTTTTAAGTCTGCTTTGAAAACTCAACTTTCATCTTTAAATTGGCAATTACTCCCTAGTTATGACCGTTTACCTTGGTTCTGTTTATTTCCTGCTTTTCATACACGGCGCATTGGGATCTACGGATGAAATTCTCCAAAGAAATGTAAATTATTATTGAGCCTAGATTAGGGCACAGACACCAATGCCGACGACAAATTCTGCCTTTCCACCAAGACCAGTAATCTTTGGTGTGGTGACAAGGCTGGCATAACTGTGGACTTCTGTGAATGCTAACATTTCCACTGTCAGGAAGCTGGCTGCTATGGGTCAGTTGCTTTAAAAATGTCGCTGTCATGGAAACAGGCCACCGATGAAAATCGGCACCGTTCCATTGCTCATTTTAACATTAAGACACATTCAATTGAATGTCTTATGTAGAAAGTGAGCATAGCCGTAAAAATGTGGGATTTCCACTTTTGGCTCAATGTGCCCAATGGAGATAAGCACAGCTCCAGCCTTGTTCAAGTAGGGAGACACTGGGGCTTGACAAAGATAAGCAATACCTGTTCCAATGTTTGGCTGGGGAGGTGTGGTTCAGCCATATCCAGACCGTAGCGCTGCGTGGCCAAATTGCGCATCTTGCTATAGGTGGCCCAGTCATGCAGCGCCACTGTGTTGAGGTTGTAGAATGTCTTGTCCAGGTAGTGCGTCACGTACGCTATGGCGTGGAAAAACATAAAGTGAGACACGGTGAAACTCGGTATCAGCTCCATACCGGTTAGGTGAAAGGTTTGATTCATTAGTGAGATGCACAATGGTTAAAGTGTTTGATGCACAACTGCAAGGTTAATTCATATGCTTTGCCCTTAGAAATCCAGCAGGGGATGAGGGAAACGTCACCGCTCCTTGGGCACCATATATACAGGAGGTCGTGGGTTTAATCCCGACCCTGACGCCTGTATGTCTGGAGTTTGCATGTTGTCCCTGTCGTTGCGTGGAATTAGGTACACGCTTTTTATTTTCTCTGCAAAGAGTATATAGCTCCCCAATGTGCCTTTGGTAATACTGCGTGTTGTTTGGCATTTCTTCGGGTCCTCCAGTTTTTCCCTCTACATTTTGAAACATGCGTTTAGAGTATTTGGCTGCTATAATTTTCCACATGATAAGCCACTTCGTTGAGCGATCTTTTGTGGCCAGGTTTTACCTGGAAATATTAAAATATTGTTATTTTAATATTTCCAGGTTTTACCTGGAAATATTAAAATATTGTTATTTTAACAGTGTTTGTTTCCTATTATTTTGACTTTAAAAAATGATTCTAGTTACATTTATAGCCATATTTTAATTTCCATCAAAGTTTTTAAGTTAATATCAATAAATATTTTGTGATCAGTTTTTTATTGTTTTTTTATTGCTTTAAAGACTATCAAAAACTCAACCTATTTCTCCTGGCCGGTCATCACACATAAATACCAGGACCGCATACACAAAGACATATACACGCTTATATTTATTTTCACAATTTCACACCTTCACACAGACACACGCACATATTTGCACATGCTTTTTACACACACGTACATAAATACACACCAAGAAACTCCGTATAGCCTTAACAGACTGTTGGGGCAAGTGCTGTTAGCGAGCACCTATGAAGAGCGGCACGGCACACGAGCGTGTGGTTGGCTAGCATCACGCTCGACCGCCTTTGTCTCCCTAGTGGTGATGTTTACACATCACACCAGGTACTGATGTGAGGCCAAGTCAACCTAGGGGAGACCCAGAACTGGTTCAGATTATTGTCATTCTTATTGGTTGTGAGCAGAAATCAAACTCTGTTCGCCAGGTTCGTCGCACAGCACTACCGCTCCCCACAGACAGACATAATCACACACATACATTAGATGCATTACAATGCTGTAATATATTTACCATACACAAACACACAATGAGACAAAGACAAACACAGTTGCACATACTGTACTATATCGACACATGCATACGGACATCTTGGCTTAAAGTGTCATTGTCTTTGCGGATAACAAATACATTTCCATGCTCACCGAGTCTAAGCTCCCTTAATCTGCTCAACGCGCACTTCGTTGCTGGCTTCCATGAAAAGTTGGATGCAATAAAACTTCCTCCAATTAAATGGTGTCAGGATGGGAGTTGATGCTCTTTGGGTCCCACGAACCAATTCAAAAAGCAGCACCCTTCAACATTATGATTGATGGCCAGGTAATCGGTTTGGCACAGGAAGTCAAAAATCTAGGGGTTATCTGTGATTGCATGCTTGTCCTTCAAAGGCTCATATTAAAAACATTAAAAAAAGTATTTTTATCCATCCGAGGAATATCTCCCAAATCTGATGCCCTCTATCTGCTTTGGATGCAGAGAAGCTGGTCCATGCCTTTATTTAATCTCGCATCGACTACTGCAATGTCTTGCTCCCTGGTGTGGCTTAGAATGTGCTTAACAATCTGCAGCGTGTTCAGAATGCGGCTGCTTGGGTGTTAACCAGAACACCTTCAGATCACATTACGCCCATGTTGGCCTCTCTGCACTGGCTTCCAAATTCACGTAAGATCAGTTTAAAATCGTATTACTAACCTACAAAGCTCTGAACCACCGTGCCCCAGCCGACCTTAGAGACATGCTGTACCCATACGTCCCCTCAAGGTCTCCAAGATCTCGGAATGCAAATCTTATCTGCTTCAGTGGATAGGCGTGTAGCCCTCAGACTCTAAAATTATCTTCCATGAGATATCAGAATCTCTGAGCCTTATTTACACACTTCTGTTTATTCAACCATTAGTAAATTCAGTAAATGACTTTTAAACATTTATTTTATTTTGGGGGAATTTTAGTTTTTTTCACGAGTTGTTTTATACTGAGCGTTTGCTGGCGTATCTTATACAGCACTTTGAGCTCTTCGGTGAAAGGTGCAATTATTTTTTATCACATTTTAATTATGACCGGGTGCTTAATCAGTCTCTCATCACCCCGGTTTGTTGAAACGAGTATCACTGTGTGGAACTTCAACAGTGGTTGTCCTCTGGAGAGACTCGCCCCTCTGCAAATGGAAATCTTGAATCTTCACAACTGGCTCAGGGGTACTCGTAGAGAAAAGCACTCCCTCACACTTCATTGGAACATGGAGACACTAGGCTTGTCGAGATTGGCTCTTGGGGGGGGGGGGGGGAGTTGCCTTGTGTTACAAAAGACGAAGCGGCAGCCAAGGGGAGGGGGAATATGCCTTAGAGGATGCCAACAAGGAGATGGAGTGATCATATTAGGTCATGTGTAGGAACTAGATGGAGTTATTGGATCCCAAGACTGAGGTTAAGTGACAAATTTGGAAGGCCTTAATTCAGCAGTTGATAGATATTGACCGATCACAAGTCACCTAACAATACATAACATAAAATTCATGATGAAATAATTAGAATTATTGCATTGTGTATTGTATGTTTTGCTCATTAGACTAAATGAGCAAAACATCCAATATTTAACATACAATGCATACACTACACAACCCATACCATGCTCAATACACATTAAGAAAAACAGTAGATAATAAATGCAAGACCTAATCGTTGACACACAATACATAATAAATCCAGTAATAAAAGTACATACAATACACGACATATACAATACGATAAATGATTAAAACAATATATGCAATGACCAGTACAGAATGTATAATTAAGACAAAATATGAACACGAATTCATATTCTATGAAGCATTATAAATTATAATGAACAAAAATATTTTTTATGACACGTAAAAAAAACACAATGGAATTTAAAATCAGTAAAAAAACAGTAACAGTGAGAGTCATCTAATTACTCTATTAGGGGATGATTTGGTTGCATTGGGGATGGACTTGCATGACTAACTCACAATAGCACGTGACCATTAATGTTGTGCTGCTCCAAGGACACAGAGGAGAAAACAATACAAGGGAGAAAGAGTAGACATATGCAAGGATTATATAAATCTTTCCAACATATGTGCTAGGAAGTATTTCACCGCACAATGATAACTGTTTCATTTGCACCAAGCGCTCGGGAAGCAGTACATCTGTAGGCCACTATAAAACAAATGGATCGGATCCTGCATTGGGAAGATCATTGTTGATGGTGTTGATGTTATGAATGCTGTATTATTAGCAGGTCAAATCACACACAATGATCTAATTGAGAGGGGAGGGGGGAAGACATGAAAAATATGCTGAGGCAATGTTAGCGTTGGTTGTTTCCAGGTTTTGGGCAACTTATCAATGGCGGCTGGTTTTCCGTAGCGTAAGCCCCTATAGGTTAATGTTTACAAGAGTTACCTTTCCACCCCACCCCCACCCATTATTTCCTGAGGCAGCTTATACTTTTATCCATCTAGCTGCAAGGTGAATGAGTTCACAGAAGCTTAACAAGAGGCAGGCAATGGTGAGCGCAGATTGCCCCATTGTTTGTAGCCAAGATATGAACGGACAGATTTACTTTTTTTTCTACTTTGAGTCATTATCCTGTTCTTGTTTTCCTCGAGTTTTTTTTTATCTTATGGATTTATTATCTCTTGAGTTAAATGTAAATGTCTCCATGGCTTAAAAAGGCATGGAGCGGCAATCATCTTTCATTTGCAGCCCTTTTGTCTGAAATGGAAAAATATACTTTCCGATTTTGGGAGCCAGTCTCTCCAAATAAGATTATATACCATCCTACAAAGTGATATTACCGTATGTTCCCACAAATAACCCACGGAGTATACCACTTTTTACAAACAAAACAAGACCATGCGGGGTATATGGAGGTGCGGGCTATCTCATGGTAGCCATCTGGCTACCATGAGAGATTCGTTCATGAGGCTATCCACATATACAAACACAGAGACAATTTCAACCGAGAAGATGGATTCTGCCTTAGCAATCATTGGAAGGATTTGATAAACCATTTCGGGTCTTAATTGATTGTGTTCACGCTTATGGTGACTTTCAGACCGCATCCCATTATCTTCCTCTCCCCCCTCCTCTTTTCAGAACATAGATGGACTCGTCCATCTGAACAACTGCCAAAATCGCTGTCCGTGGTACTAACGTTAAAAAAACGCCACTTTTTTCAAATTTTCTTGCTGTGGTTTTCACACCTGATGATGATTGCTTGTGTTGCAGTCGAAACGTCGTGATAATTTTATTGTTTTATATTTTTATTATTTTATTGTATCCCTTCTACGTGACTTTAACAAAAGAACCAAGAATGTCATAACTCGTTTAATGTTTTCATGGTAGGACTATCCACTATGCAACACTTACCTTTGATTAAAGCACTGCTGAATAAACCACTCACACTAAAATTGCACATGTTATCACGTTTTACATGATTTGAATTGTTTGTACAATGAAACGACAATGTTTGAAGCGGGCACGGTGACGGGAGAGCTGGGGGGAGGGAGAGGTGGGGGGTTGGGGGCGAGGCAACGGCGTTACCGTAGTGCCGCTATTGTATGCGCAGTGCGCAATCTACCAGTGCTAAAACTGTACTTACTTATTTACCAGTTATGTGTTACTTATTTATTGTATATTTACTTTTGTTACTTATTTACTGTTTTAAGTTCACTCATTTCCGGTTAGTTTGCTTTCTTTGTGCACGTTATGATTTTAATGCTAACAATTGATAGTGGAATGTATTACAAATGTAAACTTCGTATTAATATGATGGAATTAAGCTGCGGTAACGACGTTAAAGATATGAATGCATGCGGGGTATATGGAGGCATGCGGGCTATCTGAAATTTGTTTTACACAAAACGCTATTTTTGCGGGGTATATGCGTATGTGGGCTATATGCAGGAAAATACGGTAATTAGGGGTGCACCAAACAGCACTATTTACTTTTCCGATAAACACTAAACACCGTGTTTACGTTTCCTGTGAATATTAATGTTTAGAACCAAAATATACTTATTTTTAAACCTTTTTTGTTCCCTTTAAAAAAAGTAACTGATGAGTCTGTCTACCTCCAGACTGTATTCTGAGTCTGGCCTAGGCTCTGGCTTGACATCAAATGCGGCGGCTCAGCTAGGCCGTGAAGCTGCTCACTCAGTTTCTTTCAAAGACCGCTTGAGCGGCAGAGCCTTGGCATAGCCATGAAATTGCCAACACCACCATACAATTATACACATCTGGGCTGCTCTTTACAAATACCCTTGCATCCTACGCATAGCCATCGTAAGATGGGAGGAAGAATTAAGATAGAAACAGAAAGAAACACACAGACACAGAAGCACATGGAGTGGTAGATACATGGGGAGAGACACAAACAAATCAATGGAATTGACGAGACATAAATACCAAAAACCCACCAACTGCCATCAGCCCCCACTTTCACTTCCATGACATTGTTTATAACCACAGCACCATGCACTGGGTGTGGATGCGATGCTATGAATGCAGTAGATGACGAGTCCTACCTTTGATGTTGATGAAGTGGTTAAAGAAGCGCACGGGCCTGATGTCCAGGAAGGGCACCAGGTCCTTCATTCCCACCTTGAAGGGGTTGCGGTCGTCCAGTTTGAGGTGTGTATGCACGGACAGTCGGAGGTCCTTCTCTATTTCCTTGCACAGCTTGTCCAGCAAGTGCTGTGGGCAGATGTATTAGGAAGCACATGCATTATAACGTAACACGAAATTATCCACCTGTTTCAATGAAAATCTCAGCAGAGTAAGAACACCAAGCCAAACAAATTCTTAACATTGTGTTGTAAGAAAAGAAAACAACAGATGGCTAAATTCGTGACTTTTTTTTAGGTTATATTTAGTAAATATAAATGTCGTTAACCCACCACTAAATTTCGATTTAAAGCTTTCGTGACTGCAAGGATTCATCTTCTTTGGTTCTTTCGGTAAAGTCATGTAGAATGAGAATAAAATAATAAAATAAAACAATAACATTCTCACGACGTTTCGGCCACAACACAAGTAGCCTTCTTCAGGTGAAGGAACAAAACTGTCATTAAAGCTCATTAAAGCTCTGTCGTCCCGACAGTTTTGTTCCTTTACCTGAAGAAGGCTACTTGTGTTGTGGCCGAAACGTCGTGAGAATTTTATTGTTTTATTTTATTATTTTATTCTCATTCTACGTGACTTTACCGAAAGAACCAAAGAAGATGAACCCACCACTACCCGACCCCATAAATAAGGTTCGTCACGTAAACAAGACATGCCCATTATTGTACATGTTATGGGTTTACTCTCCATTACACCAGTGTCCTGAAGTAGTAAATAAGTGGCACGTGACAAACCTTGCTAATTGGCTGGGTGGTGGTGGGTTAACAACACATTTATATTTAGGTGATATAACCCCACAAAAAACCTTTATTACGAATGACATTGGTCGCAAAAGTCTTTGTGTTAAGATGGATAAATGTTATTCGAATGGCCCTTGCCGTAGCTTTTTTAGACTCCCACTAAGGCTGCCTGCCAATACTGTCACATGCTCTTTGGGAAAGGGGACACACTGACAAATATTTATTGTCAAAAACGTTAATGTCGGACAGTGTTAAAAAATGAGCCAGTCACGATGACCTGATGTGTGAAGGGATGTATGTGGACCGAGAGGAGTGGGGATACGGCAGAGATGACTACGTGACACACAATGCATCAGTATGCGACACATAATGCATCGGTAGCGACACATTATGCATCGGGTATGCGTCAAGTAATTGACACGCAAGCACGAACAACTAGAACCTATGATTATACTGGGTTCTGAAACATAGCAAATTGATGGTTTCAGCCCGGTCACCAATGATTGCACAAAAATCCAATCATATTAAATGTGGTTCTGCACTTAATTTAGTGAAATTCCAGCACTGAGACTGACAGAAATAAGTGTGAATGCCTTATATTCACAATACATGCATCAATTTGTGCATGAAAGGTATTATCATTTATGCAAATTGTATGCGAATTATATGTTTAAGCAAATAAAAACAAGACATAAACATGGGTTAATAAGACAAACAAGGCAGTGAAATCAAGACAAAAATGTAAACAAATTACTGAATTGAATTGTTACTTCTAATTATGATAACTGAATCAATGGTGTCGAAGGGGGGGGGGGGGGGGGGGGGGTGCGTTAGGGGTGGAGTGAGATTCATCAGGCTTTCACTCAATATTCAACAGAGTTCTGGGTGGTGGTCATCTTCATTGGTGGCCCATGAGCCAATGGCGGAAACTATGTCCCCAGGAGCGAAGCACTCGGATGTATCTTACACTATCTTACAATAAGGGTGATGTTCACACCAAAACTGAAAAAGGACACAACTGGGATTCTGGTAAATAACCAGGGAGAGACTTGGGGTTCGGGTCAGCGGAAAGGCTTAATACTGGTTAAGGGTTGAGTCATTATTGGGTTAGTTGTGCTGTGCGTCAAAATGCTTGTCCCCCCTCCCACCCCTTCTCAATTGCAAAGTATGACCTTTTCAGTTTGTGGGCGCTCTTTGTGTATGGTGTTTTATAGCAGTTCACAGTGTTTTTTTTATGAAAGCCAAAGCAGAAATATCAACTATTATTACTACCATGTGGCCTGTGGGACACACTTAAGTGATTTCCATCAAACCGCGATTTTAAAATATAAACACCTCACTTTTACCCTTGTGATGCATGCCACACTTTCTGTACAGCATCCTACAATGCATTTGCATTTAGATGTTGTATAAATAAAAAATTGTAATGTATTTTAGCCCCTGGAATATGACAACACAGCACTACTTTTGAAGTTATATGAATAGAACCTTCAAATTAATAATTTGCAGCACTATGTCAATTCTCTGTTGGGTGAAGGCCTCCCCACGCCACGTCGATCATAGAGGTAGCTTGACATTACTTCAACACACTGGTCAGTGTGGGCTATTGAAGAGAGGGCACCAGGACCGATTCAGATATAATTTGCCACTGTGTCAGCCGTGGCTATCAAACAGCAAGTCCTCAATTTATATTGCTGCTCTTTATCTTGTTTCACTATAACATCACCAACGAATTATGGAACATCATCTCATTTAGTATGCATTGATTCACTTCAACGTTGTTTTGAAAAATTTGAAGAAAAGAACGCCACGGCACCGGCTTTAACTTGCGGATATGCTCTATTACAAGTTTTCCTCTTCTAGTTTCTCAGTTTTAATTCCAAGCATGTACCTCTCCACCCTCATTTGTAAATTTTTCCTATTTTTTTTGCAATCATCCATGATTCTGATTCATATATATGAACGTATTGGCGATACACCGGTATAAAAACACATTTTTGCACAATATAAAAACACATTTTTGTGCAATAATGATTTATTTTCACACGATTAGCAACCCTGGTCAGTAAATCTTGTAGATGCGTTAAAATCAGTTTGCGTGATGTCGAAGCAGTCGGAAGACAAATGTTAGTTCATATTTTTATTTTAAGACTGTTTTATGAGAACCAGTGTTATGCTGCACCGGTGTACTGCCAATACATCCATATCCTAACAGGCAATATACAATGGCTTGAAACATCTTCAATAGTTTGATAGGAATTGCTTAATGAGCTTAGTTTCTCTCTACCACTTCCATTTCAGGAAGGATTCAATATGTTTTGAGTTACGTTTTAAAATGTTCGCTCAAAGCTAGCCCAAGGGTTTATTTTAATGATAGAGTGCATCCTACAGATCAAAGTACTTTGTGCCACAGAAATGAAGGAATTGTGTGTAATATGTAAGGTGATCATTTGCAAGGAGTGGAAATCACTGGAGGTGTTCCACATGACTATAATTTTCACATTTAAAATAAGCTACATATGCCTGTGCTATAATGTAAGCATATTACAAAAAAAACGTCTAGCCTGTATGTACGTAAAGCAAATTTGAGCTCTAATTTCCAGCATACACGAGAGGTGAACAACCCATAGGAGAGTTTCGGAAATTCAAATTAAATCACTCATTTGCCAGTAAATGCTATAGTAGGATTAAATAACTTTACATTGGAATGTGTTTTTTTAAGAAATTAACTGTGTATCGGCTCAGAAAGGTATCTTCATTCAAGATTTTTGTGAAATAAAAGGTCAGGATCCAGTGTCTCCAAACAGAGATAACAATAATATCGGCATGAGAATCTTTACTTATCCTGGAGAAATCCGATGAACTATGAAGCAATTTTTTTCACAGATGTCTAGTAGGAGCGAGTCAATACAAAACACGACAGGTGTGCAGAGTGTAGGAAAGGTAAGCAAATCACCGAATAAAATAAATAGCAACAAATTAATATACTAAAACTAAGCCCAGTGGTGGTGGTGCACGTCTGTAATCCAGTACAATGGAGGCGCAAGGGTTGGTAATTCACACAACTGTTGCTAAACTTCCTTCCCGTCGACATCAAGGTGCCATATCCTGGCTTTTTAGGATGCAACAGCGCACAAATGGGGACTCCACCTATTCTGTGTGTATGGGGTAGTACTGCCCTCTCACATGCGTGGGTTTTCTCCGGGTCTTCCTGTTTCCTCCCGCATGTAAATACCCATTAATTGGCCGATAATAACTTAATATAGGAGGAACGCAGAGCTCGGACAATTATTGGTGCCGGCTCATCGCGTGACTAGCTTCCTCCTAATCTGTGAATCCTCATGTTCCTTAAGTCGTTCTCTCTCCACGAGCACGAGAGAATACTTTGCGCGTTAAAATTCTGCCATCTCTGTACACCCAGCAGTATAAATGGGTACACCGGAGCATTGATTGGGGGTACTCCGATCTCTTCCAAGACATCTGGCAAGTGTAGAAGAGTAGGCCAAAATATGTTCTCGAGAGGCTCTTTAGAGCTCCCTCTAGTGGAGGCCCTTCTGCCTGCAGTGGAGTGAATAAGCAATTGCAGGGATGCATCTTTAACTAACGTTACCTTTGACCTCGTAGAAAGTGGTATTCAGTTTGCTCACATAGGAAGGATGGTTGGCTAAGTCAATCCCTGACCAGGATATTAATTTTCAACTCTGTAAGCATCACAGGCACTGTAATCACAGCACCACCTGGTCAGATAATTAAAAAGAAATTGGTTATAATATGATGACAATATTACAATCCACACATACAGCCAAGTTACTGATTGCTTCAGCCAAACCCAAACATGTAACCAAACAATATGAATCCAAAAATACCACAAAGTTAGTTAAGTGCTCAAATACCACTCACCACAGTAAAATTATATACTTAGAGACCTACATTAATAAGTGCTTTCGCTCAAGATCTGAGCTGTTGCTAACACCTGATGATGATTGTTTTAATTGCTAATGAAACAAAAAAATGTAAAATCTTATACTTGCTTTTCAACATGACAGGCTTGCTGAAAAACACATTCAATTGGGACATTTGCCCATACGACAACTTTATTTGCGTGGCTTTGTTGGGTAGTGATGGTTGCATATCTCTAAGTGACATAATACCTACACGATCTAACCAAAAGAAACCAATTAAGGATCAATGCCATACTCCGAATGCTGATTTGAACACAGCAACCATTATTTATTTATTTGTGTATTTATTTGATTAGAATTGCATTAAGATGCGGATTCCACTTTTCAGGGCACCATGCAAGCAAAGCTACCTCCTTGAAGACTTGGGTGATCTCCTTGTTGAAGGCGTCCAGGAGCGGCTGGGGGGAGTCCAGGTGACGGATGTACGTCATGGGCGGTACGCAGTCTCTCAGAGCTGCAAACATGTACTGCAACAAAAAAAGGATATCCACCAGGGAGACTGAGTGATGAGATCAGTTCATGTATGGGTGATGGATGGATTATTGTAATGCAGGACAGTGAAAAGTGGCAAGGGCTTTGGGAGGACTTCATCCAGCAGTGGATTGATCATGGCTGATGATGGGGAGCCGCGGTGGCAAGGTGTTAAATTCCTCGCCTGGTATGGAGGAGATTGTGGGTTCAATCCCAACCCAGACACCTGTATATTTGGAGTTTGCATGTCTCTCTCCCCGTGGTGGTGTGGATTTTTCTCGGTGTCCTCCATTTTTTCCCCTCCACATTCAGAAACATGCATCTTAGAGTATTTGGCTGCTGAGAGATCATTCTTGAGATATCATTTGTGGCCAGGTCACTTGTGAAAAAAAGCTATATCGCTCAGTGGGCCTTGCCTTGAACAAATTAAAATAGTTTATATTCTTGGGTCTTTCGGTAAAGTCACGTAGATAGGTTCAAAGAAAATAACAAAAAATAACAAAAAACTACGACGTTTTGATCGCAACACAAGCGGTCGTCTTCAGGAAAAGAGGGGTTAGCTTCTAAGGCAAACTGTTTATAAAGGTTTGAATAGGGCGTAGTCCAAATATCAGCAGCCAATGATAATGTAAGTGGTGGACAGCCAACCCGACGGTGGTTGGTTTTCCACCAATCAAAGGGCTGCCAGGTAAAAATTAGCATGTTAAAGAGAGATTAGCATACTCTTAGGTTCTTTCGGCAAAGTCACGTAGGTATAACGTGACTTTACCGAAAGAACCAAAGATTACGGATTCCTGCAGTCGCGAAAGCTTCAAATCAAGAGATTAGCATGCTAATGTGGGATAAGCATGTTAATGGGAGATGAGCATGTTAAAGAGAGATTAGCATGTTAATGGAAGATTATCATGTTAATGGAAGATTAGCATGTTAAAGCGAGATGAGCATGTTAAAGAGAGATTAGCATGTTAATGGGAGATTAGCATGTTAATGGGAGATTAGCATGTTAAAGAGAGATTAGCATGTTAAAGAGAGATTAGCATGTTAATGGGAGATGAGCATGTTAAAGAGAGATTAGCATGTTAAAGCGAGATGAGCATGTTAAAGAGAGAGTAGCATGTTAATGGGAGATGAGCATGTTAATGAGAGATGAGCATGTTAATGGGAGATGAGCATGTTAAAGAGAGATTAGCATGTTAATGGAAGATTCGCATGTTAAAGCGAGATGAGCATGTTAAAGCGAGATGAGCATGTTAAAGAGAGAGTAGCATGTTAATGGGAGATGAGCATGTTAATGAGAGATGAGCATGTTAATGGGAGATGAGCATGTTAAAGCGAGATTAGCATGTTAATGGGAGATTAGCATGTTAAAGCGACATGAGCATGTTAAAGAGAGATTAGCATGTTAATGGGAGATGAGCATGTTAAAGCGAGATTAGCATGTTAAAGAGAGATTAGCATGTTAAAGAGAGATTAGCATGTTAAAGCGAGATGAGCATGTTAAAGAGAGATTAGCATGTTAAAGAGAGATTAGCATGTTAAAGCGAGATTAGCATGTTAAAGAGAGATTAGCATGTTAATGGGAGATTAGCATGTTAAAGAGAGATTAGCGTGTTAAAGCGAGATTAGCATGTTAAAGCGAGATTAGCATGTTAAAGCGAGATGAGCATGTTAAAGAGAGATTAGCATGTTAAAGAGAGATTAGCGTGTTAAAGCGAGATTAGCATGTTAAAGCGAGATGAGCATGTTAAAGAGAGATTAGCATGTTAAAGAGAGATTAGCATGTTAAAGCGAGATTAGCATGTTAAAGCGAGATGAGCATGTTAAAGAGAGATTAGCATGTTAAAGCGAGATGAGCATGTTAAAGAGAGATTAGCATGTTAAAGGGAGATCGCAGAGCCACAACCAAGGGGTCGGCGCGTGAAGTGACTGTGACAGCGCAAGTTTGAAATGGCCGTAAAGCACAACTAACATCGGAAAGTGGTAGGATGGGGACATTATAGCCAATTATGACAAACTGGTTGATAACCTCCTTACAATGATTGCTCAGTTTGTACCCATCTTCTCGGTTTATATTGTGTCTGTGTCCATATATATGGATGGCTTCATGAACGAATCTTTGTTGATAGCCAGTGGGCTTGCAAAGTACCGTCATCTTGGAGAAATCAATTTCGTGAGCCCACCGTATTAAAACAATGATCAGCCACGGCCGAGGTATTGGTCCGACCATGTTTCAGATCTGCCTTATGCTCACAAACATGGTCCAAGACACGTTGCTTAGTTTCCCCAATGTAACTGCTGCCGGGATATTGCATGTCAGGAATCTTGCCCTTCACAGATGGGATCAGATCACGAATTTTATGTACTGTATTAAAGCGAACCTGGATCTTGTGTTTGCTCATGATTTTGGAAATATTTTTAGTGACCCCTGCTATGTATGGGCAAGGTGATGGTTTTGATTGGGTCCTCAGATGGTTCTTTCCCAACGGTTGGGGTGATAGCTTTACGGATTGTGTAGTCTGAATATCCATTCATCTTGAGAGCTTGGTGTACGTGTTCCAGTTCACTGGCCAGGTGATGACGATCGGAAATACATCGAGCTCTATGGTGTAGAGTTTTGATGAAGGAATTCTTCTGGGATGGATGGTGGTGGGAGTCAGGTTTTAGGTAGGCATCCGTATTGGTGGCTTTCCTGTAGACAGTGTCCCATTGAGCCATTCAGTCTCTTTTCGATTAAAACATTCAAGAATGGTAACTTGCCATCCTTTTCCACCTCCATACACCCAGCCACAGTACAACCTGAAGACACATCCCAGAGCTATGGAGCACAACCGTGTTCTCTGCAAAGACTGTTTTTGTCACATATCAATCAAATAAAAATATCACATCTCAGAGCTGAAATAATAAGATGGGAAAAAATAATTGAAGACTTTTTGTTGTACAGCCATTGATGACCAGGATGAGACCATCAACTAATCAGACCTGAGAACGTTATATAATCACATTACTGCTCAAATTGTAACCCAGGATCCTAAGCGGTTTTTATTGTGTTCTGACAAGTGCATGAGCCCATTGAGTCATCCAGCCACTAGAAAATTATTACTATAACGTACGTGCATACGCGATGAATCACTCGCGCCATCAAACACGTCGTCCAGATAGATAGGAATCACACTTCTGTGCCAGTACAGGAAGCTGCAGTCGCAGAGTGAATGAAGCCTGAAGGGAGAGAGCAGCATGCGTTAATATATTCCAAGCACTGTGAATTTCAAACAGGGAAATCTCAAGGACATGAGTATTGCAATTATCTGAATTGTGAACCAATTAAGCCAAATAACAGACATTTTATCCAAAATCTTTCTAAATTAATTTTCAAATGATCAGGCCTGAGATTAGACACATCATGAAAGAGAAAATACTGAAAACGATGGTTTGTATTCAACTGCTGCCTTTAGTGAAGAGGTGCTGACATAATGACTGGGCCTCTTGAAACGAGTACCACATTGTGCAAGTCCACAATGGTTGTGCCCATGAATAAACTGGTCCCGATCAAAAAGACTGTGGAATTTTCACCATGGGCTGAGGATCACCATGCTTGCTTGACCAGCAGGTGGTTGACCAACCCATAGAGTAGTTGTAACATGGTACATTTTTTAAATATTATTATTAATCGTAATTAAGCATTTACAACCTTTGTCAATCAACTGCTGCTTGAATGCCTTTTCTATCATGGGAGTTGTGTGATCACGCTCCACGCCCCTGGTAGTGCAGACTGTTGAAGCAGTGGGGGGGGTACACCAGCTCAGATATCACTTGCCATTGATTTTAGCCGTTGTCAGGAATTTAAACTTGGGTGGCCATGTTCATAGTCCACTCCACCGCCGCCTGCCCGCCTGCCTAATGTCTATTAATATATGTATTAACATTTTACTGGATTTTAAGTGCCACTTTAGGTTGATTTGGTGAAACAACACAAAGATGGACCTTCCTCAGCAGTAGCCTCGTGAGTTAAAGGTGATTCATGTTATTATTTTAAATGGAAGCTGCAACCCAAAAAAATGAAACCAACTGTTGTCTTCTTATTATATACCTAGGTTTGTATATCTCGGCCTTTCTGGTCAATGAGAAAACGTGTCTTTAAGTGACCTGCGAGTGTGCCGGTGTTGTTATTCTGTTACCTCTGTATTTCTTAAAATATCCCTGGAGTGATGCACAATAACATCACTGAAGCATTTTTAAACTTTTCTAGTCAACAAAGTTTTCAACCATGAATAGAACAGAGGCAAAAAATGAAGTGAAAAACTTGTTTTGTCATTTTTTCCAAGTGAAAACTAAAAACTGAACCCACAATATTTTTGTTTTCCGGAATAAAAAAAACCCAAGGATGCTGTTAATGGTTAGAAACCAGTTTAAAAAAAACTTAAAATTTGCAGCTTGAATGTAAAAAAAAAGTTTAAAAAGCTGCAATCCCTAAGGGCACATTGACTGTGAATTACAAGGGTTTCACCGAGTGACTGCACAGGAGACACTAGACGTCCCAAACCTGCTCAACAATACGACTTCGCGACAAAAACACATAAAAGCACGTAAAAGCAACAACCACCGTTTGCCACTAATTGGTAGAGTAATGTCACCAAGGCGCATGTGCAAGGCTAGGTGACCAGTGGTGGGTGGGCAGAGACTCTTGAAGCATGGTTTACTACAGAAGGTATGTGTTAATGCAACTCCGCAGCAATAAACATTTGCAAGAGTTCCCCCACGACCGATGAGTGGCATGTGTCCTTACCTCTCCCGCAGATCACTGATCAAATCCAGTTTTTTCATCACAAGCTGCAGGGACAACAGCTCATCTTCCCGGAAAATTTTCTACAAGATAAATTGGAAACTCGTTAACACGTGACACAAATGCCTGAATAATCACATCACATGCATACGTTGACTATATCCTACTGATTATATTCTTGGTGCTTTATTCTGAGAGCTGGGTTTTCCTGTTGAAGATGTGCAAGCTTGAAATACGTTTTCAGTGGGAAAGACTGATGAGAATTTGTTACTGATACCACCACACCTACCCAATATTTGATACCACCACATACTTTGCCATCCTTTAAATTGTTGCACAGGAGACACCAGACCTCCCAAACCTGCTCTTAAAATCTACCAACATGTGATTTTAGGTATTTCCCTTGCTCGATGCCACTCAGTGTGTGTGTTGGGAACCTGCTTTCCTCGATCCTGCACCATTGCAACCCTGCTCTTAATGGTACTTTCCTGCCACAGTGTATTCTGAAATTTGCAGTTGCTTATCCCATACAATACTTTCAGCATTCTTCACCAAATTACAGTACACCATTTTGGTATCCTCCACGGCTAGCTACGTTCAAAGCTTTTTCTACCCGACTCAATGCATATTTTCTGCATAGGATCCAGCTGATAAGCACTTTGGCAGGGTTCCATTCTAATAATAAACGTCCACCATTCAAATGCTGGTTAAAGGTCGACTGAACCCATCATCTCTCAAGGGGCAAGAACATGTGCCACTAATATCGATCGATATTAATATCGGTGACCTAGGCATCACCCAGACTTCCTGTAGTGGGTGTTAAGGCCAGTTTTTTGCTTTTTATTTTTTTTCTCTATAATGGTTTTGGACTCACAGTGCATGTATGTATGTTTGCTGAACTTCTTTTGCACTGTACGTAGCTAACCATGCTAATCAGAGGTGCGGGGGAAGGACAACAAAATAAACACAATATGTATGTTGAACTTCTTTTGCACTAATCGGAGGTACAGATTGCATGGAGACACGTTTGACTTATTACATTTTACAACAAATGTTCTTAACCCATGGCCATCACTCCCACATTCTGACACTCTTGCCACTACTCTTCCAACTGTGTCAATGCAATGGCTGACCAGCCCTGCCAAACATTAGGTGCACTAAAAAGTGAGCACGTACCATCTGTGTGCCAATGCTCAGAGCCAGCGCAGTGATGAGGCGTCGCTCCTTGGTGCCCGGGCCATTGAGGGCATTTTCTGCAAGGACGAGCGCCGACAGGACGTCTAGACGGCGCTCGCTGTACTTCTTGTCCGAGACGACGCGTTTCTACAGACGAGGGGGCGTCAATGCAGAGGGGTGCTTCCTGATCGTCTAATTTATCACCAATTCCGGGAGAGAGCAGTTAATGATAACGATGTTTGATTTAAAAGTGCATTACCGCAGTGAGCAGAGTGCATCGGTGCTTAAGCACAAATTACTTATTCGGTTAATAGTCAAACCGAACATAATATGCACAAGCCACGAATAATCATATTGCAAAGTTTTACGTCAGTGGTTAAATTGATTTATATTTTAAGTATGTTCCTCAGTTTTGATTGACACTAAGGAACTTTTTGAACAGCTATGGGAAGACGCTTGCATACATTCATAATGAGCACATTTGAAACATTTCAAAAACATTCAGTACATCAAGCTAACATGTTGGGGCCAACAGCCTTTCTCTAGGGCTGAGAAAAGGGCAACAATTTAAATTCTATTCACATCACTGCCAACGTAATGCCTGAATATTTCTATGCAGTCGCGCATTACGATGTACGTGCGGGCTTTTGTTGTTGTCGTCGTAAAGATGTACCTTAGCAGACGCAATGGCAGTGAGGGCTTGGTACTGCAGGTGTTGGGTTATATGCGACACGCACTCAGCCACCATCATTGTCCGCCGGTGAAAGGTGAACTCTATGGCCTGTAGAGGAACGATCAAACATTTATTTAAGAACAACTATGATTGCCCAGGGTAATAAAATAAGTAAACAAAGGTCATGTTTCTCACATAAAATATAAACCATCGATCATAAATTTAAAGGAGCATTTGCTCAATCAGGAAAACTCGACTGCTTCAGCATTCTGAATCTCTATTCAATGTTACGAGTAGCCCTGTTTCAAAATTACCGATAAACCACGATCAATCAAGAAAGCACATGTTACCATTTGAATGCAGGATAAGCGATTGTTCCACATACATTGTTAGATTATCCAAGGTAATTTATCATCCATAACAGGTCTTTTTTTTGGGATTCGATCACGTAAATATAAATGCGTCGTTAAACCTGCCACCACCCGACACAGCCAATTAGTAAGGTTTGTCACGTAAACAAAACATGCCATTTCTTTACTCGTATGGCACACCGGTGTGTTGGAGAGTAAACCCACAACATTTACCACCTGAGTACGATGTTTCGTCAGTAATTACAACCGGCACCATCAGACGGCAGCCAGATTTGTGTAGAAATACTCCTGTTTCGTTCCTTAAATCGAGGGATAGATGTGATTACGTAACTTGTGAGCCCTTGTCGTGCGAAGTGGGGGGGGGTGGGGTTAATGAATGATTTATAACATAAAAATATTATATAGTTAGGGGTATGGGCTTCAACGTCTAAAGTATGATTTTTAAATACGGATTTAATTCTATTCTTGCACATGGCAACATGTTCAGGAGATAAATGCCACGTCGAGGTCTGCTAGCCAGGAGAGGGCTTCGGGAGAGAGTTGTGTTGTTTTGCCATGTGTAGAAGATGGTAGCCTTCTTGTGGTCCACTTGCTACACCTTCTCACGTTACCTTAAACACAACTAATATCGTCATCTAAGCAAAATGGACGTCATCAATTCGATTCTGGATATAATCAGTGAAGCATTAAATGCGAACAAAGCTTCAAGAATCAATAGACTCGGAAGTGTGAAGTCGGAAAGAATAACGGGGTTGCAGTCGATGCTTTTGAAAATATTGATAACATGACAAATCCGAGACTTTGCTTAATCTATAGGAAAGCAAGACCACTTTGCGGTTTGAAACTCAAATGGCATAAGACCTTGGGTCAGGTCATTAAGTGAGTACACAAGTGGACATATGCATCACTAGTAAGTGACGTATTTGCAAGGCTGCTGAATTTGTCGAGACCATTCTCCACTCACTTTCAGACACAAGTAAAAATGACTCCCATTTACTTCAACTGATAACAATTTAAAACTATACTAAAACTTTTGTATTATTTATTTTTTACCAGGTAAGGCCCACTGAGCTATATAGCTCTTTTTCAGAAGCGACCTGGCCACAAATAATAGCTCAACGAAGTGGCTTATCGTACAGAAATTTATAACAGCCATGTTTATAAACGTGGAGGGAAAAACCGGAGGACTCCGAGAAAAATCCACACGACCAAGGGAAGAGAGAACATGCAAACTCCAAATACACATGCGTCAGGGTCGGGATCGAACCCATGACCGCCTGTATACCAGGCGAAGTAGTTAACATCCTGCCACAACACACTTTCCCATAAATAGCCAGGAAGAAATTATTGTGATGTAAGAGGCATTTGCGCAGCATGGAAGAGGGAAGATGACTAAGGCAGCCACTGGAATGGCACGCAGTGGTTGGTCCCCAGAGCAAAGGCCTACATGATGATGATAATGGGATTCTAGGACTAGATCTTGAAAGTTGACTACTGACTGTGCAATAGCTGGATGATCTTTCATTGGCAAGTGAAAGTGACGTAGAAGGGAAACAATCAAATAATAAAAATATAAAAACCAATAAAATTATCATGACGTTTCGACTGCAACACAAGCAATCATCATCAGGTGTGAAAACCTCAGCAAGAAATTTTGAAAAAACCGCCACTATATTCTTAGTTCTTTCGGTAAAGTCACGTGACTTTACCGAAAGAACTAACAATATGAATTACTGCAGTCACGAAAGCTTTAAATCAAAACGGCCACTTTTTTCAAATTTTCTTGCTGTGGTTTTCACACCTGATGATTGCTTGTGTTGCAGTCGAAACGTCGTGAGAATTGTATTGTTTTTTTTATATTTTTCTTATTTTATTATTTCCCTTCTGACTTTACCGAAAGAACCAAGAATATGAATCCCTGCAGTCAAGAAAGCTTTAAATCAAAATTTAAGTGAAAGTGAGTTGAGGTGGCATCAGTGGCATTGGCTGTGATGACATTTTAATTGATGCTGACTCTAACCACTAGGGTTACTGAACAATCAATTTTAGAATCATGTGGAGGTCTCTTAATTGCAATAAAATATGCAGGTGAATAAGATTGGGGCGATTTTAATTAAAAACATGTTATGGAGGCCACTCTAATAGATCTTGATGAAAGTGAATGACAAAAATCAGTTGATTGAGCTTGAAATGAATGGTGATTAACACCATTTGTTTGTCATTCTTCTGATGTTCATAAAGCATCGAGCATTGTTACATTCCACTGCGCCAGGAAGTGCAAAAGCAATTGTCACTGTTGTAAATATCTGAAGCAAGCATGTTGTCTTCACACCTTCATGATTCATAACACGGCACAATTACCCCAGAGGTGCATTATAGTCAGGTTTACAAGCAAAAACACCGATTACTGGGACAAGATAATAATTGCTGTCGTTGTGGAAAAGATAAGTAATAAAATAAATAATCAGACAATATGCATCTGCTCATATCGGTCCGTCCATATAAAAGTATTTTTACACATCTCATCAGCCACGTGGCCTTCTAAGAGTGCATAATTTTAGCAGCATTGGTTTAACACAAGGAAACTCTGGACCGGTTTTGACATTCACCATCTCATCAACAACTTTATCTTTATATTCTTGGTTCTTTCGGTAAAGTCACGAAGGGAAACAACAAAATAATAAAAATATAAACAATAAAATTCTCACGACGTTTCGACTGCAACACAAGCAATCATCATCAGGTGTGAAAACCACAACACTTTTTTCAAATTTTCTTGTTGTGGTTTTCACACCTGATGATGATTGCTTGTGTTGCAGTCGAAACGTCGTGAGAATTTTATTGTTTTATATTTTTATTATTTTATTGTTTCCCTTCTACGTGACTTTACCGAAAGAACCAAGAATATGAATCCCTGTAGTCACGAAAGCTTTAAATCAAAATTTTACTTCATCTCTGCTTGAAGCAATGCTAGTCAACTGCTGGATATTAATACTTTGTTACTTATAAGCAAATCCATTCTAACTGGGTCCTTGCCTTAAAACTACTGGCAGTTCACCAACATTGGTTCAAGCAAGTCTAACTGTCTTGATGAGAAAATGAATGCCAAATTCAGTCCAGAGTTGGGATGTGTTGAACCGCTCTCTTCTGTAATTTTCTCATTTTTTTCCTGTCTGTGTAGTTTTGTTCACTCCATTTGCCAAAATGAAACAAGAGATATAACCATCATACAATAATAATTCAAATTTATCATGCGCATTCCATCCTAGAATCCCAATAAGCAATGCATGAAAAGCAGAAAACAAAAACAGAACCAGGGCAACCGACGAAACTAAAAAGAGGGAAGGCCAGTTTAAAGAGATGGGTTTTCAAATCAGACTTATATATGTATTTACCGACTCTTGATTGCCTGATTTTAAGTGGCAAGGCATTCCATAATTTTGGTGCACCACAATCAATGTTTACAAGTACAACTTGATGCGTGTTTCACAAGTGTAGGAACCCAATTATTATTGATCAAATCGCAGCAGCTTTTGGCCAACCATCGAACAAAGACGGTCATTGCATTGTGCGCTTTGACATGCGCTTCTTCGGCCATGCGGAACGCTCTTCCTTTCAATATTTTAAATCCTATGGAACTACTTTTTCCGTTAAGTTTATCCTTCCCCTGCACCTCCGATTAGCACGGTTGGCTACATATGGTGTGAAAGACGTTCAACATACATATATGATAGGTTTAGAATCTATAAAATCTCTGTTATGGAACTCTAGCATCATAATCAATCATAATCTGTCCACTGCTAGATAATAAGTCAGACATTCCTCGTTGTGCACCATTGCTCCATCTCCATGGGACTTGTCCTCTCAGACACGTACTCTCCTGTGACTGCCACTCTCAAGGCTTATTTAACCATCGGCCATTATCCCTTCCAGTGATGTGTCCTACCCAAGTACACTCACTTAAACAATCAATGTTTCTAATTTGAATTTGTTCTCTGATCCACTTGTTTCACTTTGTATCTCTCAGCTATAATTTTAATCATACATCGCTCAATACTTCGTTGTGCACTATTCAATGTCTTTTAACGAACACATTTGTTGGAGGAAACAATTGGGAAAGACTAACGAGCATATATACCGATGGCAATTATTGAAGTAAGACCAGAATCAACATGATAAAATAAAGTGATGTTATAAAACTGAAATTGGTATTGAAAAGTAACATATTAATGTACATAGGAAATGTTTTTAAAAGTGCACATTATCTTCTTCAACATACGAATCAACAACATTTACACAGACAAAGAAAATTTAACAAAAAGCTACATCTTCTTGGTTCTTTCGGTAAAGTCACGTAGAATGGAAATAAAATAACACAAATAAAACATAATAAAATAAAATTATCACGACGTTTCGGCCACAACACAAGTAGCCTTCTTCAGCTAAAGGAACAGAACTGTCGGGACAACAGCGCTTCAATCGCCCGTGTGCTCTTAATAAATAAGGAGCGCTGTCGTCCCGACAGTTCTGTTCCTTCACCTGAAGAAGGCTACTTGTGTTGTGGCCGAAACGTCGTGAGAATTTTATTTTATTGTTTTATTTTAATTATTTTATTTCCATTCTACGTGACTTTACCGAAAGAACCAAGAAGATGAATCCCTGCAGTCACAAAAGCTTTAAATCGAAAAAAGCTACATGTGTAATGACACGGTCACACCTGCTGGCCTGAAGGTGTAATTACGGTTATAGCTGCATTACATAATGCCTTATTATGAAGCGGCGTATCTGGGGTAAAAGTGAAGGGCTGAATCAGTCAAGAAGCTCCGGGAACCATCCAGAAGGGTCTAGACTCTAGAAGGTTCTAGAAAGGGGGCGTGGCCAGAGGTAGAGCTTGGCCACGCTAGGCAGATATAAGGAGCACCGAACCAAAGCTTCGGGGCTGTTAGTGTGGGGTCTGGGTCCTGGTTGCGTCGCTGCCGTCTTCGACCACGTGGCTGTTCTTCTCCAAGACCAGCTCCGTCGCCGCCGCTACGCTCGTCAACCAGCCAGCGTAGCTACGCAGGACGGAGATGGGTTGCGCGTTTGGACAGCCTAGGTGTAGCCGCGTTACGAAGTGAATCGCCCCCTGTGTGCTCTTTATAAATAAGAAGTCTTCTACTAGACGTGTGTCGGAAGTCGCTCACTACACATGTATGGATTGAATATAATCAATTATTATACACAAGCATGATTCCATGCACTGGAATGCATGTTGAACTTCTTTCGCACCGCACGTAGCTAACTGAGCTAATAGGAGGTGCGAATTAACATTCTAAATTATGTTAATCTTTGAAGTGAAGTATGAATGTTTAAATCCCTGTCTGAGATTTTACATGTGAAATGCAGCTGGACATTGCTGAGACTGATGCTTCAATGGAAGCGATCTGAGCAGTGCACGAGTCTCTCCCGTTAAGAGATCAGTGTCCACGTCACCTTCAGGAGCTCCACAAGCCGACACAGAGCCTTCACAGTGGTTTTCGTCATGGGCTTCTGCAGCGTGGCATGCAGATTCATGGTGGTTCGCACGATGTTGCTCAGGTTGAACGCATAGAGAATCCCCTGAGGAAGAACAACACAACAGCTTGACTCGGGCGCCACGATGTGGCCATGAAGATTTTTATCCGGGTCCTCCGGTTTTTCCCTCCACATTTAGAAACATGCGTTTAGAGTATCTGGCTGCTATAAATTACCGTACGATAAGCCACTTCGTTGAGCTATAATTTGTGACGAGGTCGCTTGTGAGAAAGAGCTATATAGCTCAGTGTATCTTACCTTGTAAAATAAAAAAAGTTTGTTATAGTTTATAGACTCACTGTCAAGGCTGCTTAAGACATTGCAATGTGCGTAGACAATGTGCTTGCATCCTTATGGATTGTAGCTGAAGCAAAGACGCAAACACAAACTGTATAGGCATTTTCCACAAAGCACTTCCACAATCATGAAATCATGATTGTTTGTGCAATCCACGGAGGCAATTTCATTCTGTAATCTGCCATTTCCAAGCCTTTGCGTAGATAAAATTAATCCACAAAAAGTGGCAAATTAATACCGTTATCTGCGTATCGTGCACTTTTTAATTCGTGCATAAATGTAGCCACCAAAACGTGTATGAGCCACAATCAGATGATTTAGTGAACACTGCAAAGTCACAGTATCGACTCAGCCCATCAGCCTTCCCAGTGGAAATAAAATAAGCAACACTTATCCAATGAAGTGGCTAACCACAATAAGTGGAATTTCCACCACTATCTCAGAACCGTAAATTAAATTGAGTACTTCCCCACAGGCAGACACTTTCGAGACTATGACTTGATCCCGTATGTTGTTGCTCCTGTTATAATGAATGGTTTGTCTTTACCTGGATGAAGAGAGAACAGCGGTTCGTCAGATCACTGGAGACTTGTCCTTTGCTCATGACCGATTCCATCTTTGTCATCCAGGCACTCACGATCAAGTAGTAGGACTGCACGTCTCTGTGAGACAGTGGACAACAGCAACATATAAACACATAGAAACATGCATGCTCACGAATATTATTCCTTAAATGAACCTCAAAAAAGAAGCACTCATGCATATTAAGCCTGACAGTGTCAATTAGGATATGCTTGTATGTAGGCTTTTAAGGAAGGAAATCGGCTACTTATTGCTAAACCCAGGAAATATGTATATATATCCATGTTGTCAGTTTTATTGTTTTTCAATTTATTTACACTCTCCCTGGCTGTGCAGCACTGTGGTTAAAGCACACAACCCATGACATTGCAATTTCCAAAAAAATATATAATGGAAAAAAAACTTTTTACACAGATGGAACAGCTTCATCGCATTATATAATGAAAGAAACAAAAAGAAAAACCTGAAGAGGAAGGCAACTAGATAGGCTCTTGCATTAGTTGGTCACTGCGAAATTGTTTCCAAATAAACATACATTCAGAAAATTATAACCACCTCAGATTTGCGGATGACAGTCATTATAAAAATGTAACACGATTAATTAAAGATAATTATTGAAGAACTTAGTAAAGGCTGCAAAATTTCTCCAATACTGTATATCATTTGTACAAGGATTATTATTTACTGCACAATACATTTGTAGTGACATCGCGGGATGCCACTGTGTAGTGCCGGCCCGAGAGAGGCACGGCGTGCGGTGTATTAATATCGTGGATACCACAGTGGTGTGGGTGTAGTACCGGCCCTAGAGGGGTTCGGTCAGCGCTGATTGATAGCGCTGGATGGCATCACGCTTGCCATGCAATTCCAGCCCTACAGGATAGGGTGTGGGAGTACCGGCCGCAGGAAAAGGGGTTACTAAAGGCCATGGCACTCTGGTTGACCCGAGAGGACAAGTGACCGGTTAAGTCTACAAAGGGGCCCCAAGTGGGGGCTGGGGGTGGTCACGTGGTCGGGGTCCAGATCCTACTCGAGGATTCTGGAAGGTGGTCATGGACAAGGGCGGAGCCAGCCGCACCACAGAGGATATAAGCCGGGTCCCCCAGAGGGGCCGGCGCTGTTGTTCATCCTGAAGAAACCTTCGTATACATTCTACGTTCTACCGAGTCTCCAACACGTGGCACTGGGCCCGAGCTGTGGTCCCGGTCCGTTGTAGCTAGTTACGTTGTGATGAGTGTAGTTAGCCTGGTGGTGACGTAGCAAGTTACGGTGTAATTATTGCAGTTAGCCTGGTGGTGACGTAGCGAGTTACGGTGTGATTAGTGTAGTTAGCCTGGTGGTCGCCACCATAGGTTGTTATTCTGTTAAGGGGCAGTTACCCACTGTGTTGGTGTTAAATAATTGTGTTGCCTCCAAGTGTACGTCTGCGACTCAGTTGAACTCACTACACATTTCCCACCATTTTTTTAACTGATGTTACTAATATCTTTGCACAAACTTTGGTAAGATATTAATCACATGTGATCCTCCTTAAAATGTATTGTTACAATTTCAGCCACATAAAAACAATAACATATACATTATTCCAATAATACGTAGATAGTCCAAGCACTAGTTTTACCAGGACTAAAAGACAAAACCAATTTGGGCCGCTTGCCCTAAACAGCACCCGTAAAAAATGTACAAAAGGTTAAATGGTGCAAAGTAGGACAAACCCGATCAATTCTAGCACTCACAAGGAATTCTGTACAACCGCAAAGTCCTCGCTATTTTCACAATGGCATTATTAATTTGATGTACGTAGGCAACAGATGCACCTCAAATGGAAGACTACAAAGTGTTTTTCTTAAATGAGGCAATTGCAAGTCAATGCACATGCTGTGGACAAAGTGGTAGCTGTGGCATATAACCCCTCCCATGCACCTGACATTTTTATTCTCATATTTAAAATTGTATGCACCAACTCACACTGCTCCTGCAAATCGTCCAAGCGAAAAAGCGCTTTTGAAATGGTGGTAAATCAAAAGGAAAGTGTGTGGTGAATGGGGATCTTTTCAAAGTTTCCTTCTGTTACTTTGGTATTTTTCTTTGTTGTACACACAAAGTGAATGTAAAAAAAAGCCACACCTCTCCTGCCAAACGTGTTCTCTGCATTAAATCAAGAGACGAGGAAATTTCCATTTGGAATATTCACCACAAGCAGAACACTACTTTGTGTCAGGGAACACCTACAGCAGGGAAAATCATCACAGAACAGATGCAAAAGTAATTTCATGTTGTTTTTATACGCACTAGGGGAAAAATGTTTGCATTATCCTGCAAAAAAGCGTAGTTTGAGATATACTTAAAAAAATCCTTGGTATGTGACGTTATCATATTTAATCAACCATGACAAAGGCCAGGCGACATTGCAAAGGGCAAGACGTAATGATTGAGAGGATAGACAGCAGTGATAAGGTTTTCAGCCAGGGCCAATAATCATGAGGAGGTATTTCGATGCTCACTATCTGATACTGTTGAATATATGGATATATGCAGAGAAAATTGTAAAGGGTATTTGAGTAGAGATGGCAGAAGGAGTTTGAGTTCATGCCATAGGGTAAAGTCAATCAGGTTCATCATCGATGTTATACAGTAAAACCTTGGATTGCGAGCATAATTCGTTCCGGAAACGTGTTTGTAATCCAAAGCACTCGTATATCTGTTGTGATCACGTGACGCTCGGCAGACAAAGCGTATACGTACACTGCTCGTAATTGCAAGACCTCGCTCGTTTATCAAATTAATATTTATTTAAAATTTTTGCTCGTCTTGCAAAACACTCGCAGACCAAGTTACTTGCAATCCAAGGTTTTACTGTACTGTCTTCCACTCGACAAAGCCAATTAATAACGTTGTCACGTGAACAATCGTGCCAATTTATTACTGCTTCAACACACTGACAAACCTATTGCTGGTACAAGATAATAATTGCTGTCGTTGTGAAGAATGTAAGTAACAAAATGAATAATCAGACAATATTCCTCCTCATATCTGTGTTTGAGAATAATCTCGCAACATTTAAATAGGTATGACGTTTCTATTCTATAGCATTACACAGACAATGCACTCTTAGACACTTTAAAGGCTAGATTTAAGTACTCTTAGAGTGACGCACAAAAATTAGGTTAATTAAATTTTGCGTGTTATTAACTTGGACATTTTTTCACAAGCCACATTCTGAAAACATGTAATAGCCGACTTAATTTAATCCTCTTACAGATGTAATTTAACAGAGCTCTCTACCCAGATGAAAGTTTTTCTACCTCAACTACAAATGCATACAGACAGTAACAGTTATGTGCGTCATTAAAGATGACCATAACTTGTTATACGAATGATCCTGTTCAGCCAGTTGCCCGTTTATTTTACAAGAGAGATCCGTGGTCCGTGAGCACAGCAGCAGCAACAAAACAAAAACGTTAATGTTGCACAGAACGAGCACAGGTTCTCCTTAAGGAATATTAGACAATGAACAACCAAGGTAATTGACGGTCAGAATCAAAAACAGCGCAAGTGTAGTATGAACAAATTAGGTACAGATACACGTAAGCTCTATATTTCAGTCTCACATAAACACACAAAATGTAAAAAGGCAATGCAAGCATGTGGGAGCAAGAGGTGCCAGGACAGGTTAGGTGCAGGTATGTTGTGCTTTGGTTTAATAGGGAAGTAAAGAGGGGGAGAGTTTAGGGGGGGGGGAACCAAGCTGTAGTTGAGCAGAAACGCGGAGCAGTAATGCGAAATGACTTTTTATCAAACAAGTTTAAGCAAATGGAAATTTTAGTAGAAATACGGAAGCACTTCTAAGGCTATGGGAAAGAGGATGAACTAAGTAGACCGTTAGGTAATTGACCTATAAAGATCTCTCCGGATGTGCAGGAGGGACAGATCTGAGTCAATGTACAGGTTGCAAAGATGAGTTCTACAGGGGGAAAAAATGGAGATCAGAGTGGTATAATGGAATGAGATGTTTTTAGGTAGATCCATAAACCTGGCGGTAGATGGTGTCACTAGAATAAAATATGGGCAAAATGGTGGCTTTAACAATATTCAGGCGAAGTTGAGATGGAATACAGAATGTATTTCTGCATAGGAATCCAATTTAGTTTTTTAGCCATATGGTAAATGTGAGTCTGGAAAGTTTTGAATCCAAAGTAAAGTTGTTAGCCTGCTCAAAACGATGCGAGTTCAGAGCCATAACATGCTTTTCGGGATACGTTTTAGTTTATCCCACAGGAAAATTATGCTGTTTTTGGTTACACATTTAGAGAGATACATAACACATACTAAACTACAAAGAATCCTGCTATGTGGTATCAAAAGTCAAGATGAACCAGCACCAACTTAATTGTGATTTTACAGTGTCAATAAGGGGGCACCATAAGAAAAGGTGGAAAATGTGTAGTTTAAACATGTGAAAAGCATTTCTTGAGAATTGCTTTTTGCACCTCTGATTAGCACAGTTGGAAACGTATGGTGTGAAAGAAGTTCAACATACATCGATACCTTTTGTACTCAATATAAGACATGCGCTCCATACACAACAGAGAATGCGAGGTGTTTCAGAGCCAATGGGTCACAACAAGTTGCCAATGTCCGACGAAGATAGATTCATTATTCTTATGATTTAGTTTCATCACCCAGGACTCAAAGGAAATGATGCAGTGTCACATAGCCCGAGATGACTTGTGAACATGCCTTAACATTTTACTGTCAATGTCAAGAGGTCATCACAGCATCATGTAAGATGGTCAAAACAAATAACATGGAACAACAATAGGACAGTTCACAAAAAACATATGGAAAGATAGATACTCTTAATTGCACTGAGAAAGTAGAATGTATGTATCAGACAACCAATGAAAATCAAGACATCATAATGGCTGTTAGAAAAAAAAGGGTTTGGGCAGGACACACTGCTAGAAAGGGCATCAGATGGATGAAACTGCCTACGGAGTGGCAGCCAAAGATGGCAACATGCCCAAGAGGAAAACTACCGCAGAGATGGGGTGATGAGATTAGGTCTTATGAAGGGTGAGATAGACTTTTCCATCATAGAGGGATGGTATCATCACTGGGAGGGTTTCATCCAGCGGTATATAACTGGTCTGATGATTAAATGCAACTGTTTACTGAGTTTCCATAAAGTAGAAGAAATAACTCAACCTATCTATATTAAAAAGTAAAACATTGTCTGTTTGTGGGTTTGTTTGTGGGTTTGTGTCTGTTTGCGCGCTTGCGAACGATTTGCCTCTCCAATGGTGGGGTTTACGTAAAAAAAATAGCCAAGTACCAAGCCGTAAGCCCCGCGGCGAGCAAGCGCTATTCCTTTTTCACATCCGTCAACTTTTAATTTGTTTAATTAGCGATTTAGTGCGATTTTTATGCATTAATCATTTATTTAATTATTACGCATGCACGACCATACCAACTCACGCGCCTTTGGTGGGGGGGACGGTACATGCCAAGTCGTACGCCTTCGGTGGGAGTGAGGGGGACATTCTCTTTCGCGTTAAAAATGCTATAAAAATACACTAAACGCCGACGTTAATTCTTCACTGTGTGATGTCCCGCCCACCCCGATGCGTGCAGTTATTACTACTATACAGTCGTTAGATGCTACCACTATAGGCCGTAGATATTACTGCAGAGCGGCCAGGGAGATCGTCGCTGGAGAGGGGGGGGGGGGGGGGTGGCAGGGGTAGCAGCCCAGCCCTGGCCCGCCAAGGTGCCACCTCGGCCGGCTGGACAATCTAGGCGAGGCCGGAGGCTCTGCACGGGACTATGCCTCACCACGCCACTCTGTCAGGTGAGTACTTTGTGCTATTGAGTCGATAAATACTACATGAGAGATTCGTTCATGAGGCTATCCACATAAAAAAACACAGAGACAATTTCAACCGAGAAGATGGATTCTGCCTTAGCAATCATTGGAAGGATTTGATAAACCATTTCGGGTCTTGATTGATCACGCTTAAGGTGGCTTTCAGACCGCATCCATTAATTTTCGTCTCCCCCCTCCTCTTTTCCGAACATAGATGGACTCGTCCATCTGAACAAACTGTTAAATCGCTCTCCGTGGTGCTAACGTTTAAAAAAAACCCGCCACTTTTTTTCAAATTTCCTTGCTGTGGTTTTCACACCTGATGATGATTGCTTGTGTTGCAGTCGAAACGTCGTGAGAATTTTATTGTTTTATATTTTTTTATTATTTTATTGTTTCCCTTCTACGTGACTTTACCGAAAGAACCAAGAATATGAATCCCTGCAGTAACGAAAGCTTTAAATCAAAATTTATACTGTTATAGAGTCAGCATGTACTACTGTAGTGATAGCAGGTACCACCACAGTCGGTATGCACTGCTGTAATCATAGCAGGTACCACCACAGTATGCACTGCTGTCATCATAGCAGGTACCACCACAGTATGCACTGCTGTAATCATAGCAGGTACCACTAGAGTCATTACGCACTGCTGTTAGATTTTTACGAGTTATTTTGAAATCTTTTTAAGACCCGGGCAACGCAGGGTACGTCCCGCTAGTTAAAATTAAAATTGTCCGATTTGTATAAGTTAGCTTTTCATTTTTCAATACAGAATTTATTCTTCTTAACAACCAACCCAAAACTTAATTGATGTGTGCTGATTAAGGTATGGTTTTTGCAATATCTTCCTTGATTTGAGGTAACTTTTCACAAGATAGAATTTGTCAAGTGCAGCTTGTTCCACATTTATTATCATTCTCCGCATTCCAAATGTATTTACTACAAAACATTAAAAGGAAAAATTGTGATGTTCTTTTCGTGTAGGATTCGTGTTCTGGAAGGTCATATACCAGCTTTGTAGTCATCCTATTGATTATGCAAACATTTGTCAATGAAATAAACATCACGAAATAATGTTTTACAAATGAGTGTATCAAATACAAGGTGGCAGAAATCAGCAGTCGAGCAAGCAGTGGGTTGCGTACTTGGGCAGAGTCTGAGCCTTCTGCTGCAGGTGTGCATCTCTCTGCACTGGCACCGCCTGCAGAGTTTTTTTCTCCACCAACTGTTTATCAGCCGGTTGTACACGCAGAAGCAGAAATTTGTCCGCAAACCACACCACGTTTGCCACCAGCGTCACTGCTGGCATCTGCAGGAGACAAGCATTTTTTTTTAACTCCCACTGTTCAGCCAAGTAGACCAGAAGGACTAGCTAACGTTTACTACTTAGGCCAACATGGCACATAAGGAAGTTTAATAACCAGCAGCATACATTGACCCCTATATCTCATGAGCATTCATGTTCATACACCACACCAGGTATGTATTTAAGGCTGAGTCAATCTAGATGTTGGAGTGACATCACTAAATTGCTACTTAAAAACAGTGTAATCAGGAATGCTAGTTCAGTGTGCTCACATGGCTTTTAGCCTGCTTGGTCACCAGGCCATCTCCATCAATTCAGCACACTTAAAATCCTGTTTTGCTCTCAGGAAGCTGTTAGGCTCATTGCTCTTAGATCCCCTTACAGGTATCTATTGTTAAACACGGTCTAAGCAGATGGTAGGGGATGGAGGGAGAGCAGGTCAAATACAAGCGTCAGACTACTAAGCCAGTCTTATAGTGAGGGTAAAAAAGTATTTGATCCCCTGCTGATTTTGTACGTTTGCCCACTGACAAAGAAATTATCAGTCTATAACTTTAATGGTAGGTTTATTTGAACAGTGAGAGACAGAATAACAACAAAATCCAGAAAAACGCATGTCAAAAATGTTATAAATTGATTTGCATTTTAATGAGGGAAATAAGTATTTGACCCCCTCTCAATCAGAAAAATTTCGGGCTCCCAGGTGTCTTTTATACAGGTAACGAGCTGAGATTAGGAGCACACTCTAAAAGGGAGTGCTCCTAATCTCAGCTTGTTACCTGTATAAAAGACACCTGTCCACAGAAGCAATCAATTAGATTCCAAACTCTCCACCATGGCCAAGACCAAAGAGCTCTCCAAGTATGTCAGGGACAAGATTGTAGACCTACACAAGGCTGGAATGGGCTACAAGACCATTGCCAAGCAGCTTGGTGAGAAGGTGACAACAGTTGGTGCGATCATTCGCAAATGGAAGAAACACAAAAGAACTGTCAATCTCCCTCGGCCTGGGGCGTCATGCAAGATCTCACCTCGTGGAGTTGCAATGATCATGAAAATGGTGAGGAATCAGCCCAGAACTACACGTGAGGATCCTGTCAATGATCTCAAGACAGCTGGGACCATAGTCACCAAGAAAACAATTGGTAACACACTACGCCGTGAAAGACTGAAATCCTGCGGCACCCGCAAGGTCCCCCTGCTCAAGAAAGCACAATGAACATCTGAATGATTCAGAGGACAACTGGGTGAAAGTGTTGTGGTCAGATGAGACCAAAATGGAGCTCTTTGGCATCAACTCAACTCGCCATGTTTGGAGGAGGAGGAATGCTGCCTATGGCCCCAAGAACACCATCCCCACCATCAAACATGGAGGTGGAAACATTATTCTTTGGGGGTGTTTTTCTGCTGAGGGGACAGGACAATTTCACCGCATCAAAGGGACGATGGACGGGGCCATGTACCGTCAAATCTTGGGTGAGAACCTCCTTCCCTCAGCCAGGGCATTGAAAATGGGTCGTGGATGGGTATTCCAGCATGACAATGACCCAAAACACACGGCCAAGGCAACAAAGGAGTGGCTCAAGAAGACGCACATTAAGGTCCTGGAGTGGCCGAGCCAGTCTCCAGACCTTAATCCCATAGAAAATCTGGAGGGAGCTGAAGGTTCGAGTTGCCAAACGTCAGCCTCGAAACCTTAATGACTTGGAGAAGATCTGCAAAGAGGAGTGGGACAAAATCCCTCCTGAGATGTGTGCAAACCTGGTGACCAACTACAAGAAACGTCTGACCTCTGTGATTGTCAGCAAGGGTTTTGCCACCAAGTACTGTCATGTTTTGCAGAGGGGTCAAATACTTATTTCCCTCATTAAAATGCAAATCAATTTATAACATTTTTGACGTGCGTTTTTCTGGATTTTTTTGTTGTTATTCTGTCTCTCACTGTTCAAATAAAGCTACCATTAAAATTATAGACTGATCATTTCTTTGTCAGTGGGCAAACGTACACAATCAGCAGGGGATCAAATACTTTTTCCCTCACTGTATGTTCACGTTGTTACCAGAATGGGTAATGCAATATATAGGGCCCACTTGTGCAACAGTCACTAAATATAGAATAAAGATATACAATTAATATACAGATGAACACCGCACATGTGTAAAGGAGTTCCAGTCAGGTTAGTCTAGTAACACTCGTTCTTTATTACTCTTCAACGCGTATAACCCGCAGTACGTACCAACCTCCAAGTATTTACTGTTCAGGTGCCACAAACTCCCTTTACCAGCTCCTTTGATCCTCTCCTCCTCCATTATCAACTTTGTCTGTCTTTCCACTAATCCCCTTAATTTCCCCGAACAGTCCTCCAATCAACCCCGCGTTCACACTTCACTTTTCCTGGGCTTTTCCAAATGAATCTCTGCGCCAATCCGATCTGAGTGTTTCACCACCGTCCAATCAAATTGTGTGCTCAATTCGTCAGCTCTCCATGTGACAAGTCGCCAATAGGAATCAAGCAACTTATTTCAACTCGAGTCATTAGACCCAGGTGGGCATCAATTGTTTATATATTTACTTAACAGGATGAAACAGGAACAGGCCCTTTCCGGAAATATATTGCCAGAAAGGGTAAACTCTTTTATTTTTTTCAGAATTTTGATACCGGCAAAAAGGGTCCCATAGTTCCTTAATAAGGTATGCCTCTCAGCATGCCTTACACATGTATGATCAAAATGCGCCGTTGGTGTACTGTTTACGCGACCTTCTTGTAGACATCCAGCAGGGACCGGAAAAACTTCTTGTCCACAGTCCTGAAGATCTGGAAGTTGAGGACAAACAGGCAGCAGGTGCCGACGTACCTCTCCCTCGGATCGATCTCATTGGGCTCACCTGCAACACATGACAACACAACAACACGTAGTCTATTTAAGAATAGATTTTACCCTTTTAACTGGCACAAAAACTGACACCTTTATTCAAGGCATCATGTTTGCAATAACCACAACACAAGCAGTCAAAATGCAAACAAAAAAGACAACTCTGATAGTAATATGCACTGTCCTTGAATTTGATTGGTCCACACCCGAGACAGCTTTTCTTAGAGCCTAGTCTCCATTGGTGTTGGACCAGAAGACGCCAAAAGGCGTACAACTCAAAAACAGCGCACTATCAGAGTATTGAGGGCTCAGGGTGAGCATTAACATTATGAGACCTCCTTTGCCAGAGTTGTCTTTTTTGTTTGCATTTTGACTGCTTGTGTTGTGGTTATTGCAAACATGATGCCTTGAATAAAGGTGTCAGTTTTTGTGCCAGTTAAAAGGGTAAAATCTATTCTTATATCTTGTTTCTGGCAAAGGAGGTCTCATAACGTAGTCTATTTGTAACTATAGATGCATTGCATACTCGGAAGCCTATGCACTGAGGCAAAAAATTTGGCAGAATGAAGTCCCAAGCCCCGGGTCATCAGCAGAGTTGAAGGGTGTGTTGTAGAGGTGGCCAGGAAGCATAGGTTCCTCATGCTGGAACAATGAGCTACAAATAATATCCCGGCTTTGAATCTCACCAGCCATCCATTACTCAATAACTTTCCATCCTGAAAAATGCGTTATGGTTTTGGCAGTCATTGATGTCTTAACAAAACATTGCTTTCCATTTGGACTTAAAGGAAGATGTCACCCCCAACATAGCTACTCATGATGATACATACCTAGCCTGCATTTCTGGACTACCTGACATGAGTTGACAACTCTGTTAATGCGAACGAAGACTATCAAGTTAATTCTAGATTTGAAGTTTTCGTGACTGCAAGCATCCATACACTTTGGTTCTTTCGGTAAGGTCACGTAGGTGAAAAATGAAAAAAAAATAAAAAAATAAAAGTAAATTAAATCACGACATTTCGGATGCAACACAAGCATCCGTCATCAGGTGGGAACAATCACAGCAAAAAAGTGAAGCTCAGGCATTTCATTATAATAGGACAGCGATGCTCACGATGGTGACAACAGTACGGCTTTTAAGTCAATGATGACGTTAGAGTGTGCTTTTATGGCAAACTTGGCTGTAAATTTTAAAGTCTTCTGCAGTGTTTGAAACAGACAGCCTTGAACTCACTATGTAGGAATCTACAAAATAAGAGCTATTTGTTTCTTGGTTTGCAGCTTCTTTTAATTTGACTGAGCTCAAATTTTTTAAGTTGTTTGACATAGGAGTCACAGTGAACTGCTCACAGATATGCACAGCCAAACAGTACAAAGCAAGCTGGTTGGAACAAGCCCTTTTAGAAGATCGAGCAATGGTTTTTGACACATCCATAGGCCACTGCTTGCCAAAGTAAGTAAAGTAATTATCAGAAGATGCCCTTTTATGTACAGTCACTATATCCACAATATGGGTGTGATCTGTGAAACAGCATATGGTTTACCAAGCTTCGACTCCAATGCGGCGAACATGTTCCGAATGTTCTGGGTGAATTCCTCAGCGAAGGCACTGTTTTTTGAGACAAGAACTGTCCCATTGTCGAAGGGCTGCTCGATGCAGTTCTGTAAGGAAAATACCACCATTTGTTACGTCATTTCATTTAAAAACAATACATCTGCACATTCTCAGTGTAGCATGTTTAAAGTCAGCATGCCTATCTTTTAGCAGGACTCGCATAATAATGCATTATTACTGGTTCCTTAGTACACGGTCCTGAGGTTTTGGACCTGCAGTTAAGGAATCCCTAGACTGTCAAGATGCATTATTAAAGAGTTCACAAAGGCAACAGGATTCACATGGATAAGTGACTCTGGGACCATACCAGCACCCATCCACGACCCATAATCCTGCCTTGCTGCTATTAAAGGGATTGGAAAAACCTTTTGTAGCAACTGTAAATGATCCTCAGTTCAAAGTTTTTGGGAACGACTGATTTCAATAAAACATGAGAGATGTCAAGAGTATGCATTTTATTATGTTTGAGATGCGATTATGATAAAGAAAACTATTGAAAAGGTCTCCTTAAAACAGACATTTTTTTATCTCAATGGGAACATCACCTGGTGCTAATTAAAAGCAGAAAATGTATAATCACAAGCAACTTCATGATCCTTAATTGTAAGCACACAATGAAAACACAAGTGCCATTTAAACACACTGAATAAACTTGGTGGACAATCAAATTCTTCATCTGCTGTTATGGCCCTTGTTAAATGTATGCTTCAGGGTCTTAAACTTCTACTTTAAAGTGTTACAAAAAGCACTGTTGCCATGGGCAGCTATGGTACTGTCACACCCATGCAGACTAACACAGTAGCATGTGTACAGACCAACAGACTATCTATTGTTACTGTATAAAGCTGTTCAGATGGCCTGTATTCTGGTTACACACATGCCGTAATGGTTGAAGGCATGCCCAGCAGATGCAGAAGAATGATTGACGTCAATTTAACCATAAAGGGGGATTTAGCCAGGCAATAGATCTGAATGACCTTCAGTAGGATTTCAGCAAATAGACTCAAAACAGCTATTTTAATCAGCATCATAGTTGGCAAGGGCACATTTTTAAATGTCATTATTTTAACAAATCAGGACAGGGGAATTATGGCAAAGTGATTGCCTCACAATGGGTTGTGACTTCAAAGTCATGTCAGAGATTGATTCAGTTGACCATCCCACTGTGGTTGATAAAATGGGTACCACTCTTTAAAAAGTGAACTGTGGTGAGAGAGTCCTCCCCATAGGAATGTGGAATTGTCACCACTTCTTAATGGTAATTTGAGCATGGGGATGCACTTTCACACTGAACTATGAACAACTCAACCTTAAAATAAAAGGTGCACCTCTGCACAGAAATTATGAATTGCATTCCTGAGGCAATGATGACCCCTGCTGAGCTTTATACATCACTACCTACAGCCATTGAGTGCCAAGCAATTCTTTACGTTATAAAAAAACTAATGATGGGTGTCCCTCTACAGCATGAAATACATGATGATCCCATCAGAGGTAATATGAAACGTCAGTCTCTATCTCCCGGCTCGAATTAGTAAAGAGGAGTGATCATCGCTGTGGACAGCACTGAGCCTAGAATGAAAAATGAGAAATTATCTATCATGCGTACATAAATTAGAAGCGAGTCTCTACATAGCATCACCATCGATGACTTGCTACTAAAGGCTACTTAATTTAATCGACCATAGACAAAGTCAAGCACTGGCTCGGATGTGAATGAGCAACCACGACTGTAAGTCAGTTTCTCAAACCACAGTACCCACTGGTCGGATATATAATATAATGCATTTTGTATATTCTTTACAACGACTTGGGGCAAACCAGCCTTTTATTTAATAAGTGATATCTTCTGACGACAGCCAAGTAATCAAGGTCACCATCAGTTACCAATTTCCCCACCGTTGTGATATGACAAAGAGGGGATATTAAAGATGAATGATGACTATGAGCTCCTGACGGTTGTTAAAACATGTCACTTGTTAATAACTAGGTGTGCCCCAGATTAATGCCATGATTATCCATATTTGCAGCTGCACAATTTGCATTCCTATACAATATCGTTATGTATGTGTTCCTTATAGTAACGATGGCTTCAGTCCATCAAAATGTATCTAAACTCATGTTGCCACTCAACAGTGTTTGTTGTTAGACATCCTACACTTGAGCACCACATCACTGGTCCTAAGAATGACCCTGCATCCTCAAAGTTTCACCCAGGTGTTCCACCGTGCTACCATTTAGCTTAAATCTCATGACCTGGAAGAGTGCACGTTTTGGTGGGTGCGGATAGTGCAGCAGAGAGGGGCACATGGGCACCTGCAGGATCAGGCCGTCCAGGAGCTGTGCCTCCAACTTCATGAGCAGCTTCTCCAGCGGCCGCAGCTTGTCCACATGCACCTCAAAGCGGCTCGAGTTGTGATGCACGGACTTGAGCAGCCTGCACCACCAAACACGTGCGCACGCAGCCCACAAGAGGCCGGAATGATAGACATGAAACACTTTATGTAATACATTTGTTATCCGCGCCATCTTAGGACACAAGGCTATCACAGAGGCGGTACGTTTCATGGATGGATATAGAATTCTAGTAGAGGGCAATGTTGCTGTGCGGTTTTACCTAATTAAATAATTTGAAGATTTATTTTATATTTGGAAAGCATGGTCCATAATGCCAGCACACATGGTCTACCTACTTTTTCGACGAATGTCAAGGCACTGTGAAGTAGTTGGCACATAGGTTTATGGTTTTTAGACCAATAGTATTAACGAGGGTGGCCACTGGGTTTAAACCATGAGCCTCTGAAACAAGTGGTGAGCGTACTACCGCTTGGCTATGGCACCGAGCAGCATGTAAAGAAGCTCCCTTGCAGGCCGAGCACACATCATCACGGTCATCATCATTGGCTGATTTATAACGGATAGCTATGCAGTTTTCAATTTTTCAAGGAATGCGTACCTTTTTTTAAAGCTCCACTTTTGTAGCTTTGAACACAGGTAGCGCAAAAGGAAGTGTAAAAGCTTCAGGGTCTGTGTTGGCAGTGCTATAGAAGCAAATGCTAAACATATTTTAACACTTAGTTATTCTCAAACAACACCTGAGATAAAATATATCCGAAAGCAAAAATTTTACCTAATGGCCCTTCTTTAGTGTAATAATCTCTGAAAGCTCTCAAGTACCGTCGCTCAAACGTTTCTAAATACACGTGTAGTGACTAACTTGGAGACGATAAGACTTGGAGGCACTTCTTTATGAACAAGCACCATCGGGGGTTAACACTCTAATTAATTAATTAATTGATCCATCTATTGTCGACGACGCTACTCATCCAGGACAGTTGGTAGGCTGCCTGACTGGTGGCGCCCCGAGATGGTGAAGACGAAGACGATGACAAGAAGGATGGTGAAGACGACGAGAAGAACGGTGACGAAGACTTCAGCAGCACGACGGGGATCTCACTCCAACAACAGCCCCGAGGTCCCCTACAGGGGCCCCTCTTATACTGTCAAGGTGGCCTTGCTCGTCTAGAGTTCCCGAAGGGGGCGTGGTTAAGGGCGGAGCCAGGCAGGTGGGAGGTGCAAGGTAGTCTGGAACCTCCGGGAATGTTCCAGAGGGAAGCGTGGCCGAGGGTGGAGCTAGGCCACGCCGAGCGGGATAAAAGGGAAGCCCGATCAAATATCGGGGCTGTCTGCAGGTGAAGTGGAACCCAAGTGCTACGTCTCCGTCTCCGACGTCGTGGGTCAGACAGCACTTTGGCAGTTCTGACCCGGTTATAGTTACCCCGTGTGCGCAAGAGATAGGCGTGTTATAGTCCCGTATGTAACGAGTGTAAGAGTTAGGTGCATCGTAGTCCAATGTGTAAAGGTGTTATGTAGTGTAGAATAAACGTTGTTGCCTCCTAAATAGTGTCTCCGAAGTGACTCACTACACGTGTGAAGTTAAAGAACTGATAATAATGTTGATAGTCAACAAAAATATATCCCTATCATTAAAATATAAAACAATGCACACTATATAAGCCTCACCAAAATAATAAAATACGTATTGGTGCTACCACGAGTGCAGTTTACAGCAGGGACAAAAGCATTCAACCTACTAGTCACGCTGCACCACCCAACAATAGCCACTCAACGAATAAACAATCCTTTCATAATTCAGAGTGCATTTGCTCCATAGTGGTCAATTCTGATAAAATTATAAATGAACAGTAACAAAGGTAAACAGGCAATTGCTACCATGTAATTATTTCCTCATGTCACTGCTGACCAAAGGGCATCTACTAGAAGGAGCTCTAGAGAGCCCCTCCAGATGGTATTTTGGCCAACTCTCCCACAAAAAACAAATTCTCATCACTGCCAAACTTACAACAACAAAATACCAAAACCGATACATAGGTTTGTTTAGATTGTGGGTAAGTGTGGCCAAGAAATACCTCCAAATAGATTATTATTTCTAAGACAATTTAGACTGTGCTGTGTACCCACAGTTTTCCCACATGCATTGGAACACCTTGCGTGTTTTTAAGCTTGTGCACCTAAGGTGCGTAAGTGGGATTGCATGCTGCAGTGTGTCCAATCAAATTGCAGTCAAATCCCCTAATAAATGATCGGCTCCCTTAACGGACTGACCTGGCAGCTGGTTTCTATTTGATTTACACTTTAATAAGTGCACCAAAGTGAAAATGCCATCTGTGCAAATGACAACATTCATTACCTTTTGTACATTGTCCAGTGATCCTTCAAGGTTGACTGATTTTCAATTATTTCATCCAATGTGACGAGCACCATCAGGAGATCCCCAAGGTGTTCATACACAGTCTGCAGCAAAAGACAGGCGCCTCGGTTGAAGCAGTGATTTCAATCTATTGTAATAATAACACTACGACACTACGTGTTATGCATTGCCTATACGTTGCAACTGGGTGCAAGTTCATTCGAGCCATATTAATCATATTCCTGCTCTGTCCGGTTCATTAACTCGAGCCTCAATATGCACTGAAAAAATAAGGTGCTTGCATTATTGGTGTGCTATCTTCGAGTTTAAGCTAATTTGTATAGCCTCATAACCTCACACATTGCTTTGCTTTGGAAATAACATTCCTTTCACATCTTTTTAAAACATTTCACATCTCCACCAACAAGTTCAATTCAACTATTACCCGAAAGTTAATGAAAGCAAATCGATATGAACACTGCCCAAAGCTGCTCCAAGCTCTTTTGATATCGAGGCAGTTTACGTGACTTGATATTGAGTGCTAATTCCATACCAGGTTTTATTTACACATTATAAAACTATTTTTTTTCTGCTGATATTATTTATGCTGTTAAATTACTTATCGTGCATTTTAAGCCAAAACAAACCTCTTATGAATACTTATCATGCCTCAAAGTTTTGCTTATATTTTAAGTTTTTATACATGTATACAAAACATGGTCGTCGATGGAAAATAAAGAACAAAAACGGAAAAGTGTACAAACAGGAATGTGGAGATGCATGTTTGCAATTACACGAGACAGAAGAAGAACACGTGTAAAAGAGAACAAACACAGGTTAACGACATCGTTCCTCAATCATTGCGAGTTTAGGGTCTTAAATCCAGTCACCAATGACTGACCCCTAAAAAATTTTAAATTTGGTTTGTGATTGCAATCCTGTTTAAGAAAACTAAAAAGAAAAATTGACACATACCATATGGAATTACATTGAAAGACAGTAAGAGAATACGTGGCTTAGAAAACATATGCAGGGTAAAATTCAAATGGTTAAGAAAAGTAGGCTTGTAAAGGATAGGTTGCGAAAAGAGACGATGGCTGATGGTTAAGAATTATAATGGAGTAGCCAAAGAATGGAGCACGTCCTATAAGACATCCAGAAGTGGTGGAGCGATGAAATTGGAAATGAATAAGCTATATGGGGTGTTATATCCCAGAAACATGAGAGGTGACAGCTGCTTCGGAAGACCTTCATCCTGACCATGGCTGATGATGATGAAGCATGTATAAACTCACAGATGCATTTCTATTTTAAATTATAACCCAGCCTATTTGCAATGATTATGTATATTTAAACAGTTTGTATACTGCATCTCACAATAATGAGTATTCTCTGATGCATGTCAGGAACAATACTAAATGAACTCGTCACCTGCTACCTTGCAAACATGAAAATATAATTTATCACTTTGAATCATATTTTGTACTGTTGACGTGACCAAATTTGTCATGCACTAAATTTAGCCAAGATAAAGACCTGAATGTCTAAACACAAATCAAAAGCTGTGTTCAGAAATAAATTTTAATGAAGAGAAAATACCTGAAAGTGTACTGATGATACGTTGATTATTTTCGGTGCGGTTCTGAAAAGCATACAAAGCAACATTAAATACTTCACCATGTAGTGCTCATCACTGACATTTGTGTTGTTCTGTGTTTTTAAGCTAATAAATAATCAGATCAACTTAACTGAAATAGTTTTTGTTGCAATCCTTCCAGGATACAGGCAGACATATATGGCCAGGTGGCTCTTTGGCAGTATTCTCAACTTGGAAAGTTGCCAATTCAAATTCCAGTGAGGAATTTATTCAGCCCATCATCCCACTGGGGTTGATCAAATGTACACCACAATGACCATTTCATGAGCAGTTATCTGGAATTGCCCTTCAGTGAGGGAGAGACTGGTCACTTCCACTGGAATATGGAATATAAACCAAGGGCTCAGGACTGCCAAAATAGATGTGGCATGTCACATTCTTGTTTGAGCATTCAGGTATGTATTTTGGCACATGATGCACATGAATACACTATCAAGACTATTTTTCATCAAATCAAATACAATTTAATATCAAGCACAGATGCCAAGAGCTGTCCAGTAAAGCATGTCCAATTGGTTAGGACAGCCTGAGTGATGTGGAAAATGGTGCATAATTGGCTTGGTGCCTCCTCTGATAACAGCGTGTCAAATATAGGGCTACACTGAAAGAAATGCCCTCTTACTTGCTGTAGGAGTACAACGATGCCATCTGGTGCACGACGTTCATAACCACCTCGTAGCAGCGATTCACAAAGCAGGACAGCTCCTGTGAATAAATACATGTGAGTGTAGCAATGCTATGTATGTATGTTGAACTTATTTTGCACAGTACGTAGTCAAACGTGCTAATCGGAGGTGCACAATTGGCTGGGTGTCTCCTCTGATAAGGCACTCATTGTTTAAATCGTGTCAAAGAAACACCCATAAATGTGTTAACATTTCATGCCGTTAACACATTTCATAACGCACAGCTGAAAATAATATCTTGTATATTAGGCAGTGGCTTTAAAGATAATATCAACTTGTCATGTGCAAAGTATTCGCTCTCAAAAATCAAGAGGCACGAGGAACCACAGACAAACAGGAAAGCAGCCACACAGTGAGCCGGTGCCAAATATTCCCCAATCTCTGTGGCCCTCTATATATCAAGGTGTTATCAGCCATTAATGAGTGTTTACATGTGGGAGGAAACCGTAGCACCCAGCGAAAACTCATGCACACTTGGAGAAACACTATCCCATTCAAATGGCAAAAGTGGAGTCCACATTATTGCTGTACTGCATTCTCCTGGCCAGCCACGGTATAGCACCATGACACCCACAGGAAAGAAGTTGTACAACATTTTTGTGATTCACCAACTTTCGCTGGATTACAGGAGCGCCACCGCAGCCCGGCTTAAAGATACATAAACATGGAGACAAAACAGATGGTAAAATCAAAAGACCTAAAGTGGAATGTCTGCATACACTCACAATGAATATAAATTCGCTGGCTGGGCAGCATCATTCCTCACTTTGAGGACAAATATTAAAGTCTGGCTAGTGTATATATTGCAATAAGCTTTCCGCACTACGTCGGTAAAAAGAAAAGCTACTGTTTTTAGGGAAAAAATTGGCAGGAAGTTTTTAATTATTTACATATTGCTCTCACCACGGGAATATGGAATGTACAACACTGGCTTATAAATGCCAAATGAGGCAAGTGGCTGCATTTTTTGCACTGATAAGTCAAACATGAAAGCGATTTCCTTCTGAAATGAGCATCGGGGTGGTGCTCATCTATTGTTGACAGCCCCGAGCCAGTGGTGAAAATTCCGCATTCATATGACAGAAGCGAGGATCATCCACAGGATAACCGGTGTTCACTTTCCGCGAAGTTATACTCATGTTATCGACTGCAGAGGGATGATAGGCTGAGTGAACCCTGATTTAAACTTGCAAACTTCCGATTGCGAGCTGCTCGCTCTGCCCCTGTGCTCCTGAGAAGTAATGATTGATCAAGTTCCCTTCAAATGGCTGGTATGTCAGCAAGCTCCACTTAAGAGCCAAAAACTCTAATTTCACCTTCCACAAGCAGTAAACACAAAGAGAATGTACAGTAAGGTAGGTTAGCATTCTTTGATGCACAAGAGCTGCTTGTGATGACATATATGAAATACATATATTTCTCGTTTTTAAACGAGAAAAAGTACAAAAGTACTGTATTCAGATGCCCATAGGTCTATATCACATTGATTTACTAGACTGTGTGGTCAATTCAGTTTATACTTGATTTGGCGCTTTCATGACTGCAGGAATTACTCTGGTTTTTTCGGTAAAGTCACGTAGAAATAAGAAATAATAAAATTACATAGTAGCATATGAAACGTCATATATGCTATTATGTAGTATGCTATTAGTAGTATGCTATTATGTAATTTTATTATTTCTTATTTCTACGTGACTTTACTGAAAAAAGCAAAGAGCAATTCAGTTTATATCTGTAGATTTGTAGGAAATCGACAATGGTTGTCTGTGCTGAGAATAGGTTTTCTCAGCACAGACTTGGGGCTGCTAACAGAGATTAGCTTTTCTCATTAGCGCACAGACACTGATATTTCATTTGTTAAGCATAAGACAAGAAGGTACACATGTCATTTGTTGGAAATTCTGGCAGGATAATTAAATACTAAACTTATCCAGAATGGTAAATAAGCTTTAAGTACGTACTCTGGCTGCACTGTTCTGCATACACCATCTCAGAGCTGAATTTTCATTTAGATTTTGAAAGAGCCGCATGGAAGTAGCTACAATGAATCGTTCTGTGCGCTGTACTCGTCCCACTTAATACAAGTGGACGTATCTCGCCAGTCAAAGTGAAGTTTCATTAATGGCAAAATATGTATGCAAATGAGCTTCACCTGCAGGAAAGCTATCATCCGTCCCATTTGGATTTGTGCATCTCCTTCTTCCATGCCACCCTCGGGGCCTTGATAAAAACACAACCGCACACTGTTTGTAAGACATTGCATTCTTGTGCACATTTGTATGCAACTGTCATTATGATCATTATGATGTTCACCTTCCCATGTATTAACGACTAAGATCTCAGTGGGAATAACTGGTATGGTGTGGACATTAGCCCATGAAAGTGTAGTTTTGGAGTAAAGAAAAAACATACAGCACAAATTACCTTTAATTTATTTAGACTTCTATACATCACAGCTATAAATATGATGGGATGTCAAATGAACGTGCGAGATTTATACAATTGTATTTAAAGTATGCTACATGGAATAAAAACACACTTACAACCCTCTCCATAGAACAGAAGTCCATTGTAGAATGTTGTTTCTGCCTATGGACAAGGATATATGGCAATGAGGTTATGAAATATGAAAGGTTTTGCCACCCATTTAATAAAGATCAAACACACACTGTACAATTCAAAAGTAACAATTATGTCTCAAGGAAAAGCATAAACTGTATTTAAATGCTCAAACCCAGTATTACGTAATTTTTCAGTTACAAATAATTGTTACTTTTCATTTTAGAATTAGCATGGTTTTTCCCCTTAAAAGACATTACATTTTGATGATCCAATAAACATAATTATTTTTAAAAAACACTAAACCAAGCTTTACGGCAATCAACACTAATTATACCACAAAGCCTGGATAATTTAGGCATATTGCTTTTGACAAGCAACTTTATTATCATAATAATTAGTTCTTAACACTGCTGGAAAAAGGTCCCACCATGATTTCATCGTTCCCTATGAGCCTGCGATACCACAATCTCACTGCTCAACATGACCTCTACTCATCGATCCATCTCTTCAGTATGAAACAAATTATTTCAGAATATGTATTTATAATGGAGGAATCCAATGAGGCTGTAAAGCTCTTTTTCACAGATGTCCAGTCGGGGGGGGGGTGGGTGGGTCAGAACGTTACAACAACAATACAAAAACACTAGAGGAGTGCAACGTATAGGAAAGGTAAAGAAATAAATTAAAACATATACATAGAAATAAAGCCAAATTATTTATTTAAGCAGGTAAAGGCCACCGAGTTGTTAACTTATTTTATTTGGTGATGGTGCGCTGGCAGTGATGCACAAACAATAACAACAAAACTCGCATTTCTCAATAACACTGCCTTAAAAGGAAATCTATATACGTGATGTTTGAGGCAATGGCACTTCTTTGATGTGCTTTGAAGAAGGGAAATTGCCCACGTCATCTATGCATTGATTATCCTCCTAGGCATGTTCTCAAATTACACTGCCATTCCATGACTAGTCTCGTCCATCTGATATCGGCCTTTCTAAGAATGTGGCCTGTCAAAATTCACTTACATTTTCTTAATCGCCAGTATTATGGCTTTCATTTGCACTTGTTCCATAATCCATCTGTATCTCATTACGCCTCTCAATTGAACTCACAGTATGCAGTTCTCAATTAAACTTGTATATTTTTCAGCTTTTATCCCATGTCATTTGAGATGTACACACCCATTCGCCTCTAAATACACATAGATTGCAAAATATTATTTTAAAATTATCATAAGAGAACTGAAGAATTATGAATTTAGAGGCCAATCAACCACAACGCTTTTTTTAGATATGTATCTGTCTATATCAGGGGTCGGGAACCTATGGCTCGCGAGCCAGATGTGGCTCTTTTGATGATTGCATATGGCTCGCAGATAAAACAAAATATTCTCACTTGTTTTAATCCATCCATCGATTTTTCACTGCGCATGTCCTGTTCAGGGCTGCAGGAGCAATTGTCCATTATTTTAATTGGATGATACTGGCCTACGTTTGCCGTTGCTGGGTAAAACAGGTAAACGCCCCCTTTTGAATCAGTCTGAGACTGCGTCTGCTCGGTCATTAGCTCAAAGCTAACCCTTCGACGAAGAAGATGGCGAAAAGAAAAAAAGACGACGAGTATCGTACATTTCAGGACGAATGGACCGAAGAATTCGCCTTTGTGGAGAGAGCGGGTTCTGCGGTGTGTCTAATTTGCAATGACAAAATTACATCGTTGAAACGGTCGAATGTAAAGCGGCACTTCGACACGCGCCACGCTACCTTTGCATCAAAATACCCTGCGGGAGACAGCAGAAAGAAAGCGTGCCAAGAGCTTCTGAGCAGGGTGCAAGCTAGCCAGCAGCAACTCCGCGTATGGACCCGGCAAGGTGACTATAATTCGGCTAGCTTTGCTGGTTCTTTAGCAATAGTGAGGAACGGAAAACCATTCACAGATGGCGAGTATGCTAAAACGTTCATGCTGGATGTAGCCAATGAACTTTTTGATGATCTTCCGAACAAAGACAAGATAATCAAACGGATACAAGACATGCCTCTGTCGGCAAGAACTGTTCATGATCGTACCATCGTGATGGCAAACAAAGTGGAGGAAACGCAAGTGAAGGACATAAATGCAGCGCCGTTCTTTTCTCTGGCTTTGGATGAGTCAACAGACGTGAGCCATTTGTCGCAGTTCAGCGTGATTGCAAGATATGCTGTTGGTGACACACTGCGCGAAGAAAGTCTTGCTGTTCTGCCATTAAAAGGGTCCACAAGAGGTGAGGATTTAGTCAAGTCTTTCATGGAGTTTGCTCAAGAAAAAAGTCTACCTATGGATAAACTTCTCTCAGTGTGTACTGATGGTGCTCCGTGTATGGTGGGGAAAAACAAAGGATTTGTGGCGCTTCTCCGTGAACATGAAAATAGACCCATCCTAAGTTTCCATTGCATTATACACCAGGAGGCACTTTGTGCTCAGATGTGTGACAGGCAGTTTGGCGAAGTGATGTCGCTGGTCATTCGTGTGATCAACTTTATTGTTGCCCGAGCCTTAAATGATCGCCAGTTTAAAACACTGCTGGATGAAGTTGTAAATAACTATCCTGGTCTGCTTTTGCACAGCAATGTGCGTTGGTTGTCAAGAGGGAAGGTGCTTAGCCGTTTTGCGGCTTGCCTGAACGAAATCCGGACTTTCCTTGAAATGAAAGGCGTCGGGCATCCTGAGCTAGCCGACACCGAGTGGCTCCTCAAGTTTTACTATCTCGTAGATCTGACTGAACATCTGAACCAGCTCAACGTGAAAATGCAAGGCATTGGAAATACAGTGTTATCCCTTCAACAAGCTGTATTTGCTTTTGAAAACAAGCTGGAGCTTTTCATCACGGATCTTGAAACAGGTCGTTTACTACATTTTGAAAAACTGAGCCAATTTAAAGATGCATGCACAGCAAGTGAGCCCATTCAAAACCTTGATCTCCACCAGCTAGCTGGCTGCACATCCAGTCTCCTACAGTCCTTCAAAGCACGCTTTGGAGAATTTCGTGAGCACACTCGTCTTTTTAAGTTCATCACCCATCCAAACGAGTGTTCACTGAACACAGCCGACCTGAATTACATCCCTGGTGTCTCCGTCAGAGATTTTGAAGCAGAAGTGGCTGACCTGAAGGCCTCAGACATGTGGGTGAATAAGTTCAAGTCACTGAATGAAGATTTGGAAAGAATCACACGACAGAAAGCGGAGTTGGCGAGCAAGCACATGTGGACAGAAATGAAAAAACTCCAACCCGAAGACCAGCTGATTCTCAAAACTTGGAACGCGCTTCCTGTCACATACCACACACTGCAGCGTGTGAGTATTGCTGTATTGACCATGTTTGGATCTACGTATGCATGTGAGCAGTCATTCTCACATCTTAAAAACATCAAGTCCAACCTACGATCACGTTTAACGGATGAAAGCCTCAACGCTTGCATGAAGCTTAACCTCACCAAGTACCAACCCGACTACAAAGACATCAGCAAATCCATGCAGCACCAGAAGTCGCATTAATGGTGAGTGTTATAACAACATTATTTAAAAGAATAAATTCAGAGGCTTATTATATTGACATTTAGTTGAATTCACTTTTAAAATATATTATATGGCTCTCACTGAAATAAATTTCCAAATTTTTTGCTTTCATGGCTCTCTTAGTCAAAAAGGTTCCCGACCCCTGGTCTATATCATTGACCACATACACGACCAATCAGATTCTAGAAAAGACAAATTCATCATCAACTAACATTGTGCCTCGTGTTTCAATATTACCAACATTAATGTCATAAAATGGCAAAGATGCAGCTATCCAAGCTGTCAAACAAACCACGAACCAAAAACATGTATGTAAATGATAAATTTCTGTCGTCCCGACAGGTCTGTTCCTTTCACCTGAAGAAGGCCACTTGTGTTGTGGCCGAAACGTCGTGAGAATTATTGTGTTATTTTCTTTTATTAATTTATTATTTTATTCTCATTCTACGCGACTTTACGGAAAGAACCAAAGAAGGTAAATGATAAATTGTCTTACCTCATGCCTCAACTTGTTAATCTCGCAGCAAATGGCTGCAAATACTGTGATAACTTTATTCAAAACCTGAATAAGACAAGCAGAAAGGAACAGTTTGTTAAGTTGTCACTTATTCGCACTCTTAATTATAATTGTCAATTGCTACACGTTGGTGATATGAAACGACGTACCTTGTTGTCAGTCTTTATAAGTTCCAACAGTGATGCTTGTTCATATGGAAGAAGCTGCAAACACAGCACATGTTATTTAAATACAGTTATATCATGCCTAACGCTGTTATACCAAACATGTGTTGGCTTCATATTCTTGGTTCTTTCGGTAAAGTCACGTAGAAGGGAAATAACAAAAAATAAAACAATAAAATTCTCACGACGTTTCGATTGCAACACAAGCAATCATCATCAGGTGTGAAAATCACAGCAAGAAAATTTGGTTTTCACACCTGATGATGATTGCTTGTGTTGCAATCGAAACCGTCGTGAGAATTATATTGTTTTATTATTTTTTATTATTTCCATTCTACGTGACTTTTTCGAAAGAACCAAGATTATGAATCCCTGCAGTCAAGAAAGCTTTCAATCGAAATGTGTTGGCTATACACTTTTTACTTATTGAGGTACGTTTTCCAGAACACGGGGGTGAAGTTTCGGCTCTAAACGGTTTGGCGCTGCTAATATTGTAATCTCCGCGGTGACAAGTAGTGTGCGGTGCGCTTATACAGTACTGTTGATGCTGTGGATGAATATATAGTATGTATGAAGTGAATTACCATGTAAGTTTTTTTCGTGTGATAACGAGATAAATCTTGTAGAATTATAAGTTAGGCAAAGAGGATAGGAGTGATATAAATTTCAGACCCAGGAACAAAACGCTATTTTTCCCATGAGGTCGTATTTGTTAAATCCGGTGTTGGCCAAAACTACATTTTCCAGGAAATAAACCCACACGTTCGGTGAGATATTACTGTACATGCAATTATAACTTGACTAAAAGCTTTCGTGACTGCAGGAATTCATACTCTTTGGGTCTTTCGGTAGTCACGTAGATAGAAAAATAATAAAATAATAAAAAATCTCGACGTTTCAATCGCAACAAAGCAATCGTCTATATTTCTTCCTGCCTCAGCAGTTCACCTGCTGTATTTTTCACCTGAAGACGACTGCTTGTGTTGCGATTGAAACGTCGTAATTTTATTTTATTATTTTTCTATCTACGTGACTTTACCGAAAGACTCAAAAGTATGCAATTAGAACATTAATAACCTTCGTTGAAATATTCATTAAATTATTGTAATGTAATAAAAATGTATGCATTGGATGATTCAAGATAACTTTCAGGGGTATTCCATGAGATGGTGTGAATCCACTGGCGAAAAGACTAATAGCATATTTGGAAAACATCAGTATCTGATGAAGCTCCATTTTTTTTTTAATATGTGAAAGATTAATATTTACTTTTAGAGAAAACACCTAGAAAAAAAATAGCCCTATATCGTCTTTGGTGACCTGTGTATACAGGTAATTTCGTTTTTACCTGAAGTCAAATATAGTGTTCTTCTTCAGGTGCTTCATGTGTGTGGCTGGTACAGAAACGTAGCATTCATCCCTGCCAGGATGTCTAATCCTTATCTCAGCAAAGTATTGTTTAATTTTCCAATAACCAACTTTTGTCTACCTGTACAACCACATTGGACCTGACCTGGATAGCATTGTGTGCTTTCATTCGTTGGATCAGATTCAAAACCGTGAAAAATGCATCTGCCAGTAACATGGCTCCTCTGGTGACAACCTTGCCCACATAGCCACACACCTGCAAGGCGACTGGGTCGAGTGTGAAGTCCCAAGAGTCACCGATGGAGTCATCCAGGGCATCCTCTATCCCCTTCAGCTGCGACACATAGTCCTCGAGGAAGCGGCCAAACTTCTTTACTTGTACCTCCCCGAGCACCTCTGTGTATTCAAAACAGGTAGTCCGTGTCCATAAACTCACAAGACCGGAATTCACATTAAAACCCCACACCAGTTTTATAAATGACAATGCCTATGAGGAGCTAGTAAACACAATAAGTCTGTTTTGTGCTAATTGAATCATTTAGATCAATTCGCCAAAGGCTTTTGAAAACAACGTTTTTGAACAGTTTGAGTATAGAATTAATGTGATTTGTTACACAGATGATTACGTTTAGTTACTTTCCCAGGTATTTTACAAGGGAAATCGATACTGCTTGAGCACAGGGATTATCCTCCTAAGCAAAAACAAAAGAAAACATCAATATTGTAGAGAATTAGTACAGGTTCCCGAAGGAATATTGCACAACTAACAAACGAGGCATTTACAGTCATAAATACACGCGAATAAAAAAGAGTGCAACACTAATTCTGATTCTAAGTTTATTGCATATTTAGGACAAGGGAGCCATGATTTGGAGAATTGCAGTTTTACAAATTCACTGTATTTCAGGAAATCAGAGTAATGCTTTGAAATAAATGTCATTTTTCAAGACAATTTTTATATAATGAGCAACGTGTCGCCTGTAATAAAGCATCTGGACTCTGCACTACGCTAATGAAAATTCAAATTTTCAAGTCTTTAATACAGCTACAGCACAAAAGTTAATTCATTTATAAAGTACAGCTGACAAGTGAGGCATGGGAAGATGGGCTGCTCAACTTTGAAGTTTAAATGACATTACAAAAGGCTTACAGTAAGCAGTCTCTAAAGATTAACAAAGAGCAGCAAGTTCTTAGTCACAGATCACTACTTGGTAAACGTTTGAACACAGATAGTCAAGCGGTTCACCTCTTGAACATTAAGACTGCCTGCATATTACGATCTCCACCCAGAGATGTCAACAGAAACCGATTAATACTATGAGGACTAATCTATATTTACTGCTTTAGTGATAGGTATCATGATAAAAAAACAATGAGGACCACACTGCATACATGGGATGACAGCAGGTGACCGTGCCCATATATCTGACCACTAGTCAAATAATAAGTAATCTTTTTAAAAGCTTTTTGTTAAACACGCTTTTATGAAATGTACTGTACTAGTAGCAATGGCAGAACTCCACGAATCCAGGAAGTGGCCCGAAGCTTTCCATAACGTAAGGTACCGTGGTCATTTACAGCCAACGTTAGTTGACCGTGGAGAATTAGACCAAAGTCGAAAACATAACATATAAAAAAAACAATGTTAAAAAAATATTGTTTATTATTTTTATGGTAGAATATAGTATTGTCATCAATATGACATAAGTATACCAAGTTTGCAGTCGATGCCGCATTGGGAAGTGGGTTAAAATGGAGTTACAAGATTTGAGGATACAACGACAACAGAGTGAGTTAAATAAAAAGCGTGTAATAAAAAAAGTATTCCTGCTGAAGCAAGCGTTGGGTGGTACAGTACTTATGTCTTTCCTACAAATTGGTACTAAGTGTATGGACCCTTAAAAGATGACAAAGTTAACACTTGAAATATCTACATCCTTGGAACATTAATTCCAACTTGTGTCCATTGCTGCGTTCACCCACCACCTATTGAAACTGCTTTATGCAACCTGTATTTAATCCTGGACTGCGGGCGTCGTTGTAAGGAGCGTACACATGCAGCAAAGTATATTTGTGTCCAGCACTGTACTATGCTCCCACGTCTATGCTCCCCATCTTCACCAACCTGTACGCACATGCAAGTGGGGTCAAATAAGCGCCCCCCCCCCCCCACGACCACACGCACGGGCTTGAGGAGTTCCTCTCATTCAGTGGTAGATTGACATGAGGGTTACATGCATGTGAGCAGACAAACACAATGCCAATTATAATGCTTGCCTTGCCTAAAAAAAAAGGCAAACCTACCTATGTATGTACATCGCATGACAGGGTTACGTGACCCCCCACCCCAAAAGAAAAAAGTGCCCACGACTAACAAAGCGAGGCAGCGGCAATCTGCCCTCGCCACACAAAACAAGAAGACAGCAACGTGAAGCAATACGAGCAAACGAGAACACCCAGTTTGCTTCGACATCCTACGCGACATCATCCTCAATAGTCTCAGCAACCGCGGCAATCTTACAACGCGCGGACTAAGTGCCGAGGCAAAGGTGGTCGTCACAACCCCGTGTAGCCTTCGCAGACTGTTGGGGCAAGTGCTGTTAGCGAGCAACCTATGAACGCCGGCACGCAAGGGCCCGGCTGCCTTTGTCTCCCCCAAGTGGCGCCGTTGAACTACACACACACACCGCAACTTGTACTCGTTTGAGGCCGAGCCGAACCAGCACCGCGACCCGCCCTCTCCTCTCTTCTCTTGCGCGCTGCAGTTTTGCTACACGTCTACACGTGGCTGGGCGCGACGGGGCGAGAGCGAGAGAGTCCGAGGCGTTTGAGTGAAGATCGGGCGGAGAAGGTGACGAGAAAGGCACTCACTGACGGAGCCGTCATCGAAGCGGTCAAACTCCCAACCCTCAGCCGCCATCGCCGCCGCAGCAGCAGCACGTGACGCCCCCCCCCCGACCCACGTGACGCCCCCCACCCCGACCCACGTGACGCCCCCTAACCCGACCCACGTGACTCGCGTCGCACGTGACCAGAGACAAAGATAACCCTGATGATGACTGTTTGCGTTGCAGTCGAAACGTCGTGAGAATTTTATTGTTTTATATATATTATTATTTTATTGTTTCCCTTCAACGTGACTTTACCGAAAGAACCAAGAATATAAAGATAACCCCGTGGAGCTTTTAACAATAATTACATTTATAGTGGCTTTTTATACGGAAAAAAAATATCGAAGCGCTGTACATGACACACAACAGCAGGAGCAGCATTAGCCACTCGTCATGAAAATAATATTACGAATACATTTTTATAAAAAAAAATTTTTTACTAAATTAACACAAAATTGTACAAAATTGTTTTTTTAAGACTCAAGAGATCACTCTGATGTCTCGTGGAAGAACGTTCCATAGCCTGGGGGCTAACACGGGGACATCATGCCCAGATCATAGGGACATTGAAGGGGACATGTGGGTGAAGCATATCAATGATTTAAAGCTTTCGTGACTGCAGTAATTCATATTCTTAGCTCTTTCGGTCAAGTCACGTTGAAGGGAAACAATAAAATAATAATATATATAAAACAATAAAATTCTCACGACGTTTCGACCATAACACAAACGATCATCATTAGGAATGAAAACCAACGGCCATTGGGGGGAGGGCAGAGCTTTGTGACGTCATATTTGAGGGGGGTCTGACTTTTTGTGACGCCGTGTGATGAGGGGGGGGGTCAAAAATCGGCCAAAATCGCGTGACGTCACGGCCCCTAAACCGTATGGGTTGACAAAGTGTGCTGGTGTTGTCCGTGAGCAGGAATCGAACCCGGGTGGTCAGGTTCGTAGCGCTAACCGCTCCACCAGCACTCTAGCACGTGGCCTCTCCTTCTCACGTGCGAGTAGACCAACGGTGGTCACGTGCGGAGTAGATCTCGGCACGTGACTGCCGCGTTGAAGGGCCGCCATCTTGGTAAGGTATAGGCGAGGCAAAGGTCTCTGTGACGTCACCGAATATGCCCGCAGAGTCGCGACCAACCGCCCCTACGTTAATGTACACCGGAGGAATCCGATGAGCTCTAAAGCTCTTTTACACACTGATCTACAGTAGGAGCGGGTCAGAACGTTACAAACAATACAACAAACACGATAGGAGTGCAAAGTATAGGAAACGATCCAATATTATTTCACATTCACTGATACTAAGAATGATCACTTAGTTTTAGGTCAATAGCACCACCTCCGATTCACCAATGCCAAGAATCATCAATAGACACCACATCTGATGCAGCACTCTGTCTCCCTCGCTCTTTGTTCAGGCTGTCTCGCCACGGTTGTTGTTAGACTTGCATCCCACTGGGATTTTTTGCACATAGCGTTGGTGTACGGTGCTTTTTTCAGGAATATTTGGCTGTTTTTTTTCATGGATTTTCTGATTGCACAGTCACATAGTCACTTTAAGATGTTTTTCTTGTTCGTGTTTTTTGTTTGTTGTGGTTGCACCCGATTCAAGAGCCGAATGGCTCCCAGGGCTGTATAAAAATAAATAAACTGAAAAAAAAAACTGAAACTGAACTACCTTGCCTGGTCTACAGGAGGTCGTGGATTCGATCCTGACCCGTGGGATTTTCTCTGGGGCCCACAATTTTCCCTCTAAATTTAGAAACATGCCTTTACAATATTTGGCTGCTATAGATTTCCGCGTGATAAGCCACTTCATTGAGCTATCATTTGGTGGCCAGGTCGCTTCTGAAAAAGAGAAATATGGCTCAGTGGGCCTCTCAGGCCTTCATCCTTCCCTTTTTCCCTCCACCTAACTTCAGTATGCCGCCGCTGATCTTCACATCACCTACCTTGAGACCAAGCCATCTTCGGCTTTGCCAATCCATGCTCCTCTAATAACTACACTGAAGCATAACGTCCCATAGAATTTAACCCTACTAATGCCCTAACGTGGAAAAAATAGAATACAAATAACAATCAATAAAAGGAAAGCTGTACAATAAAACAAAAACATTAGATATTCCAATGATAGCGTGTACTGCACAATAATAACTGGAAGAGGGGAAGAAGTAATGAGGGATGAAGAGAGAGAGAAAAAAAGTCCTCTTCAACATTGTAATGGGTCTTAATATCTTAACCAAATATTTAATGGGGAGCCCCTCAGCTTCAGGGGGGGCGGGTTTCCCAAGGATGCCCAGGAGAGTCCGTCACACCATGCGGTCGATCTTCCTGACTGATGCGGGGATGGTCGCCGGATGTCGCTCACAGTTGGCCCTGTGGATCGAGCGGGTGCAATTAAACTCGACGCGCCAACAGATGGATGTGCGACGGGTGCAACCCCGGAACTTTTCAAGGTTGCTATGCCCTAAAGGCAGGTGACGATGAGTTCAGAGACATATGAATCATGAACATAAGGTTTTTCAAGCGAGAAGGCAGAACATTCAAATGGTGATTTCCCAATTTAACATATACACATTGTGGTGGCAGAACCTGGATGACCTTGACAGGTCCCTTCCATGGTCTCTGCAGCTTTGGAAACGTTCAAAATGATACTTGTGAACAGTGCAGCCTTGCCAAATGCTCTACTTTCCACTGAGTGCACATAGCGGTCTTTGCCCGAGCCCATTCATCTGTGGCCTGGGCGGCAGCAGAGGTTGCCCTTCTGGCCTCTCTGACTTCCTGCAGGGAAGTTCACTTGTGGCTGAAAGACGCCGGCCATGAGCTCGCACAGGCAGGTGTTTTTGCCAACTGATGCTCAGTCGGGGGTGTGGGCTCCTGGCCGGAAATCAAGTAGAATGGGGAGAATCTCGTAGCAGTTTGTTATTCATTGACTACTTGGCAGAGCATGGTCGAAATAGTGTGATTCAGCCTTATCAACTATCCTCGTTGTCTGCGGGTGGTAAGCCAAGGTGCTCAGCTTCTTAGTGCCCAAAATAGCGCATACCTCCTTCAGCAACTGGAATGAAAAAAAATTACCTTGGTTGGGCAACACGAGTTCGGGAAGGGGGAGGGGCCTTATCCACAACATACACATTTATAAAGGCCTCAGTGATGGATTGTGCCGTCTGGTCTGGGAGAGTCCATACCATAGGCCAACGGGTCAAGTATTTTGCCGTGACCCGCAGATAACAATTCCCTTGCGGAGTCGTGGGGAAGTGACCCAGGATGTATAGGGCAACTAACTAATTTACCATAGAGACAGCGATGGATTACAAGGGAATTTTGAGAGTACAAGGGGGTGGTCTGCGTCTTGGACAATCCTCACACACTGCTACCCAGCGATGAACGTTCGTAAACATACCCGGCGGATAAGTGATTTTCAACACTGCGCTAGATTTTATGTCTCCCAAGTGCATGAGCTGCCGCATGTCTTCTTGCAACCTCCTGCGCCACGGACTGGGAATGAAAATGAACGCATAAAAACTGCGAGATTGCGTCCCAATGCATCAGAAGACCCCCACAACGACAAAAGTGCAACACAACCGACGATCTAGATGCAGGCCTCTTTGTATTGATGGAGTCCCGAATGGGGTTTAAGGATGCATTGTCCTTGTGACCTTCAATCCAGTTGGCCTTAATGTAATACAACCTTTAGTCCCCAAGGGCCGACTGGTCTTCCTCTGGCCCCCGCTGATACTGGGGCAATAACCCAGCCCCCTACTGGGTTAGTCTCCTCACAGCATGAAGATCCTGTCATACACGCACACCCTATCGGGGAGCTTAATCGAGAGTGCATCTGCCTTTGAATGGCAGGCACCCTTGCGAAGAACAACATCCTAATTAAATTCCTCCAGTTGCTCAATCCATTGCTTCATCTAGCATGATGGCTGTTCAATTGGAAGCGAGTATTATTGTATATCCACGTGGTCAGTGCAGATGTAGTGATGGTAGCATCACTACTGCGTACACACGCACACGTGTGACGTCACTATGCGGGGGAGCCTCATGACCACGCGAGTCTACACACATACATGACGTCATCCCGGCTGGAGGCGGGAATGACGTCGGGGCCGGTTCTGGACTCGGGAGGCCACGAGGGTGGTGTGAGGTCGTGGCACTCTCTGTGACCCCGGCTGGACACGTGACTGGACCCCAGTGGGGGCCGGGGGTCTAGGGTCACCTCGGGGGGCATGTGAGCAGCAGGGGGGCTTCGAGAGGGTTCTCGAAGGGAGGCGTGGCCGGGGCGGGGCCCGGGCACGCCGAGGCCCATATAAGCAGCCTCCTCACGAGGTTCGAGGCTGCTGCCCGTATCAAGAATGAAGATGCATCGTGAAGACGCCAAGAAGAGTCAAGCCTCCAGTCAGCAGACCTGCCAGTAGCCCACCTGGCTGGGTCACGCTAGAGTATCTGAGAAGTGTGTGTTAGCTAGAGTAGGTCGGTGGTCACCACCCTATGCTAAATGTAAGAGTTAACTGTTGTGTTCATTAATAAAATAAGTGTTGCCTCCCAAGGAGTTGTGTGTGCACCTAATTCGAATCCACTACACATACTATGTATTTATGTCTGTAAAGGCGCAGCCAGTCTAGGTGCTCCTCGAATGAGCGACCAACCACAATCAAATTTGCCCAGATATGAGCCATGTATCTCACTGGAGACCTGCTAATCGTAATTCCATCAACCTTTGAAAAGTAGTGGAAGCCGTCATTAGCCCCATGGGCAAACAGTTAAATTAGAGCAGTCTCATGGGTGTCCTAAAGGTTATCTTTGATCGGGACTCTGCATCGACAAGAAGCTGTCAAAATCCAGAAAAGAGGTCGCAAGGGACTGAAAATGTTTTCCCAAGGGATAGGCGCGTCAGCCAACACCACCTTACTCAATCGTCGGAAGTCTACGCAAAACCGTTGCAAGTCGAAAGATTTCTATGGGGACCACTGGCATCTTGAGATCGCAGTTCCATTTTGAGGCTATATACATTTAAATTAGTGTAGATGCTCATTTTATTATCCTATGAATAACAAATGAGCGCAATATCCTGGTTGTTATTATTATCTTCTCTGAAAAATGTAATTGCCTTGTCATTAGTTAGTATATCAGTTAAATGGCAGTGCCAATGTGCATGCACACTATAAGCACAGTCATACATATATTTCATTTAGCTATTCTGTAAGCTAACCTTTTTTGTAAGTACTGTACAGCAATGATTATTTAAATAATACTTGAGTCCACATCAATTTACTCAGATTTTATTGTCAAATTATCGTATTTTTTACATCGTATCATGTTTTCATGTTAATTGGTTGACATAAATGAGTTAATTGTTTGTATAGTGGTCCTGTATTACATAAAAATGCCTAGACGGACACCCACCAGCATCTAAATAAAGAGTATGATTCATGATTATAAATTCATTACAATACCTATCACCCACCCACCATCATCTGCAATTCAGACCAATTGTAATAAGGAATGTGGGAAGCTGTGTCTTCTGGACGTGGTGGGAAGGCAATATATCCATAGACTTCTCACTTACTGTACATCCACTCAACTGCATCCAACCGTCCAGGTTTTTAATGGCTTCTCATTGTTATGAGCTCTGTAAATTAACCCTGCGTCTCTCAGGCATTAGATTAGCAGAGGCGATAACATACTGTATAGAGTATAGACAGACCACAACTGTGTACAGATAAGATTCATCTCAGGAAATAAGAATACTTAATGTGTGAAGGCTGAGACAAAATAACATGTTCAACATATTATAAGTTGATGCTGCAAGGTTCCTTGGAAGAAACGCACTTGTTCATTATTAGTATGTACATCCCGATAAAGTGTCTACAATATATAAAGCAAACAGAGCAACAATTATACCCCCTCTCCCCTACAGAAATATGACAAATTATGATTCACTAAATCGTTTATTTTTTTGACACATTTTTGCCATCTTGTTTAATTTTTAAATGTTTGTCCTCTTTTATATCATTGATGTATACAGGAATCGGCATATATTGTTCATAAACCGTGCATGATAGATTTCATGAACTTTATACATCGTACGAGAATGTATTTAAGTCTACGAATAAATCCATCAGAATATGCCCATTGCACATGTTGGCTTTTTAAATGTTATTGAATGGCCATAGAGCAGCAGGGTTATACTGTCCCAAAGTTATTGAAACAGTTATACGGATGTCATTTTTATTCTTGGTTCTTTCGGTAAAGTCACGTAGAAGGGAAATAATAAAATAATAAAGTAATAAAAAATAAAACATAATAAAATTCTCACGACGTTTCGGCCACACTAAACAATTCTGCCATTGTCTTTCTTATTCTGTGCATATATTATACTGTGTATGTAAAGTTCGATTATTTCTGAGATGTTAAACCGACGAGGGAATTGCCAGCTTAGTTATGCTGTGAATGCAGCACATGTCCATTGTTAAGATAAAGTCTCCCAATTCAAACAGCACTAGGTTGTGGCTCATCTCTATTGGTAGTACATAAATCTGAGCACGTGGTAGAAATGGCACATTACTAAGATGGGCACCATTTTAGTGGGACAATATATTGAGCTGGCGCTTGACTGGCATTTGAGCATGGTTATACCATCATATTGCTGCGTTGTAGAGCCAAACAACATGCATGGTGTTTGTGTTGGGAGGAATAGAATAGCCCTGGGATTCTGTCGCCTGCAGTGCCATCACTTGAGATGGATGTCCAGTGTGGCAGTTATGCACTGACTACTGAGTAGTAACTCAATAAGCCATGATCTGTCCACTATTGGACCAATGTCTCGTTGAGTCATCACAATCCCTCACAGTCTTAATTCATCTCACTTCCGGCACGTGTACTGATCTCATCGCCCTATCTCTGCAGTGGTTTTTCTTCTGGAGCATGCTTTTTCCCCTTTGGATGCCATTCTATTAGTGGTCTCCTCCATCTGAAATCATGCCTTTCTCGCAATCTGCCCAAACCCACTTTTCTAACAGTCATCATGAAGTTCTATTTCATGTCTTAGGTGTCTTCCTGCCTTAGGTTGTCTGTTGTGACTGTCGCAATTGCTTCGGATACTGTAATGGCATACATTATGCGGCCTATCTATTCCGTACTTATTTTATTGCGGTAGTTAGGCCAAGGATACATATACCACTTTAACAAGGAGGCTTAATTCCCCTGCCAGAAATCCCGAATGTAAGCATGTACTGGACAATTTTCTCCCAACTTCGATTACCATGATTGGCTACGTAGGGTGCAGAAGAAGTTCAGCATGCATACTGTAGTACCATTTTTTGTAGCATCATTGAAGCGAGGCCAATACGGCCAATTGCCACTGTGGATAAAAGAAGTGGACTCATAATTAGAAAGTTGCACGTTCCTATCCTGATCCGTGGTACGAACGAGCATTAATCCCCAAATGGGACTTCTGTGTGTTGCATATGTTACCCACAGTGCCACCAGGCCAGAATAACATTGTACATATACGTGCTGCACTACATCCATATCAAAGTGAGTATCTGAGCATGTCCACACTTGTGCATGCCAGTGTGTGCGTGTGTGTGGACATTACAACGTTTAGCTTTGTATTCATGATGAGACAATAACGGTCACAACAAATGGATGGCAGTAGATAACCGCACAAGTAACTGACCTCTTGTATTTGCAGAGTCTAGTTGCATAAACACTGCTGCTGTAGGGTATATTTGCCTCCGCCCTCATCCGTTGTAATTATACTGGCACTTTTTCTCTGTGCGTGTCAGAGCAGACGTCTGTGGAAGATTCACACACACACACTTGCCACATTACAATGTGCACAGTTGAAAGTCTCGCATATTAATACAAAAGTAGTTTCATAAAGGAAGAGGTTGGCCTACTATAAATACTCATCCAGCGTGTGGTGTTTAGGTACATTTAATTGAACCCTTTTTTAGGATTTGCAACGCAAACCGGGGGCTGAGTGGTGCTGTGGTTAGAGATTCAGAATCAGTTGGTTGACTTTAAATCCCCACAGATGGCTAACTCAGCCTATCGTCCCTCTGGGGCCATACATTAAGCTGATCCCCACCCAACACAGGGATACACTTTACTACTTTAATGTAAATGAGAAGATATCAAAAACGAGCTACATTTTCCATAATACAAGTATGTTCATGTTATAGTGTGTTATATGAACCAATGTACCCAGTAACAATGAATGCTCTGTACTGGTCCTGCCATATATACGTGGAATTTCCACCATTGGCTTAATGGCACCACTGAAGATGAGCACATCCAATGCTCATTTGAAGATGGGTGCACTTCACTTAAGGTACGAGTACTACCCACGCAATTACGCAGGTTATAAGCGAAATGCAAGTGATGTTGATTTGGTGAACAAAGTTTCAAATTGGGCTGTTGCCGTAGTTCTGAGGATTACTATTCTGCGAGAAGTATAACTTGTTGTGAATGTATTGTGTTCACATAACTTAGCTGAAGATGATTTTAAGCAGTGGAAAGTACGTTACTCAAGTCAACCATTAATCATATCTCCTTGATATGTTTTTGTTATTGTGAAATTGTTTACACAGAATGCAATAGCTCATATCATCTGAATCGGGAAATACTATACACAAAAAATAAATGTATATAGGTAACCTTTAACACGTTCTATTTTCCCACCCAATACATTGCACAACAGAATATACAATCTGCATTTATGGCTTTATTTTGGTGATTTCGAAAAGGTTTTTTGGTTTGGCCATGTTTGTTTGTTGTAGTACGGAGTTAGACTGATGGCCTTAATCTAAGTTGTCTTTTGGTTGTTGTTGTTGTTTGACTTGCATCCCACCGGGATTTTTGTACACAGCGTTGGTGGTGTACGGTGCTTTTTCAGGAATATTTTGCTGGTTTTTTTCCTGGATTTTCTGTTTTGCACAAAGCCAGTCACTTCAAGAGGTTTTCTTGTTCACGTTTTTTGTTTTTTTTTTGTGGTTGCACCCGATTCAAGAGCCGAATGGCTCACAGGGCTCTACCAAAATAAATTAAACTGAACAATAAACTGATCTGTTACACCTCCCCCCCCCCAGTCCCACTACGTTCGTTACGCTACTGCCACATTGCTGGTGGTGGGCCATTGGGGTGGATGTGAGTCGCGGAGTGCTGACCGGGGCAGAGAGAGAGAGACCCACACGCCAGAGCAGGGCACCGGGTGGGAGGAGAGGGAGGGACGAAGGGAGGGAGGGGGAGGGAGCCCCCGGTTTGTCTCGCATCAGCCGTGCTCGCGTTGCGTCAGCCCTCCAGCCTGCACCTCCCCTCCCTCCACACACCACCAACCTCCTCCTCCCCTCTCCTCCCACTAAAGCCTTTGCTAACACTGCCGCACGCACACGCGCACGCTCACACACACACATATACGGCGACGGTGCCGCCTAGCTCCTGCTCACACGCCGGAGACGGGAGAGAGAGAAGAGGCGAGGAAAGGGGAGCTTTGTCATTTCCCCCGGACGAGGGACAATTTCGAGGGGCTTTCAAGTGCAAGGAGGCTGACTGGCGATGTTGTCCGCTCACACCTTCGTGCGGAGGGTGTCAGCCGGCAGAGTGAGTTGTGACGCGCGTTTGCCTTTGCATTTACGCGTCTCAATATTGTCACTGACGCATCTGCTGCGTATGTGCGCCGCACCGGTCTGTATGCGCGTGCGTGCGTGTGTGTGCGTGTGTGTGATATGCGCCTCTCGGTTGTGGTGCTCGCGTGTGTCTTAAGGCTCCGTTGTACACAGTTCGACAATGTACCTTGAGTCCCTACGTGTGTGGCGTTGGGTCATTCGGATCCAGTGCGCACTGTATGTGTGTGTGTATGAATACAACACGTGTACGTCCCATGCGTTTTGGGGCACGCGCATGCTAGAGTGGCAGCGCATGCAAGCAGTTGTACGCGGTGTATACTGTGTAAACCATGAAATGTGACGTTACGGTGACATTGTTATCGTCCGTATGGATAGACTCGCCCCGTCATGGGAATGTGGAATTTCCGTCACTGGCGCCGTGCTGTCATCGGAGATGGGCGTCGTCCGTGTCCTGTCATTCGGTTGGCCATATGGGGGTGGGTGGGTGTGTGAAATGTCGGGGAAACTTTGACTCGGCTTGAACTTGTCACTTGGCCACAACTGCGTTACGAACACGCCGTGTTGTACTGCACTGCGAACGTGTGCACTGCAATGTACGTGGCATTGCCGATTGCATAATAGTTGTGACTCTCTCTTGAGAGAGAGAAACTCCGTAATAAGTTTGCAGTCGTGAGCCACAGCCAATTCTCTCCTTTTTGGCTGATATCAACTCCACCCCCATCCCCCCATGTGTAAAACGGATGCATTCGCCGCTGCAGTATACCATTACATAATACACTGACGAATGGATTTAATACATTGTTAAATGTGCTGCTGTGTTTCACAAGGCTCGGTCACAGCTTGGTCGTTGCTGTTACAATACTTGTAGAAGTGTACGGTATTTGATTTTAATCGTGTGGGGTCGCAGTTGATATATATATTTTAAAAATTCCTTGACAAGTTCCGATTGTGTAAATGCGTGGCGTTAAAATCTGATGTACCTAAATCCCGCATATATAGGATACAACTAATGGGAATGCGTCTTGTTAACAGTATGTATTCATGGTCTAGAAGTCACAGTCTACAATACTGTTACAATTGTATGCTGTCGATATACACACATACACAATTTAATAGCACGTCTTTGATGGTGTATATGTCCTGTATTATACGATGCATACATATGCAGTGTAGACGTAGTGTACAATTGCAACAATATATAATAGACGTGTGTCATCACCTGGCACACCAATTGTTTGTAATCGCATGTGCTTAGGACGTAATAAATATGATGGTCCTCCTGAGAAAGTGTCTCTTGGAGATGCACTGAGGCTTTCCTGCTGGGTAAATTAATCGCATTGTTATTTTCCTACAGTGTAACAAGAAACAACCAATCATGTTTCAGTGAATGATTACAGTTTATTAAACAGGGACACGTATCACAAACATCTGACACTACATTGTGGAAGTGCGATATTTACCACAATACCTCTGCTAGTCGCGCAAGTAATCGCCCCCTTCCCCCCCCTCCGTCAAATTGCGGAAGTGATTATTTAAACAATGCGCATCGCTTCGGGTATTTACGGTACATTGCGTGGTCTTGTGGGCTATTGCCCGCGTGTGGCTCTCTCCTGGCATTCGTCACCGCCACCCCGAGGCAGTGTCACCACGAGCAGCACGTTCGTCACCACACGGACACACCGCGCCTGTACGCGGTGACCACAGCCACACGTAGCTATAGGATACGCAAGGTGTAAGCCGATGCGAGGGTTTCCTACGCTCGCCGCACGACTAAACTGTAACCTCCAGCACAAGCCCTCTTTGGTAACTGTCAAATGCAGTGTCAGGGATTTTTGTACTTCACTGCCCATCATGAGTATACAACTGGCCTTTTGAAAAACAAGTGAAGCCCCATTTAAAAAAAAAAATCTGGAGCCAAAGTATGTTTATTTTCATTTGTAAAATGCATCTTCATTGGCAGTCACCTAAGTCAGTGATGGAAACACAATATTCCTATAGTGGGAACTGACTTTGACATAAGACAGCTGCGGAGGCGAGGGTTGGTGGAGCGCACAAATGTTGTGAAACTCCCATCCCGTGTGTGTCGAGGTGCCGTTCCCTGGCTCGCCAGCATAATGGACTGTAAAATGTGGATGAATCATTCCTCCCTTCTGTATGAAATAGAGTATTGGCTCCACTCAGGCATGTGTTTTCTACGGTTGCGCCGTTTTCCTCCCACATGTATTCATAGTCATTAATTTGCTGAAAACATCTTACTCCATTGAGGACTGCAGAGCTCGGGCAATTGTTGGCACCGGCTCATTGCCTGGCTGCATTCCCACTCATCTGTGATCTCTCAATGATTGTGAGATGCAATTTGCCTGAACGATTATATTAATTAAAACTAAACAAACAAGCACTGCTGACAAAACTACGTGATTGTTGGCGAACTAATGCTTATTTTACCCACCCTGGAGGGCAGGTTTGAACCTGACCGGCATTTTAACTACTCACACTCTTCAGAACACCGAGTACTCTACCAAATGAGCCATGACACAGTCACGTGGCATATACACTACTGTACTGTTAATATTAACAACGGCCTTATTATTTGTCATGACAGCAGTGTTTTATTCATTATACTTACGTCATTTTGGGTTCATGTCATTCTGAGAGTGATTACACTGCAGGATTGTGAGATATTGTGGTGGCATCCAAACAGTGCGTTGGCCAAAAATGATTGTGATGATCCGTTGTTTAGGGTGGCTTTTTCTGCCATCGCAAGGTATTTAATTGAAAAAAATTCGCGGTATATGAAAAAACAAACAAATTATATCGTTACAAATATATCTGTAAATATATGAAATGTTACTGATTTCTTTACAAACGGTACAAACTGTAGGTTAAAACTAGTGATCTGGCAACACTGACCCACATGGTACTGTAGAATAGCTTTAAAACGCCCAATTAATATTCATGCAGCAGGTCTTTATTGGTGTGTTTGTTCGCGACTGCTTGTGTGTGTGTGAGACCATTAAACCGCAAATATACCGCAGTCTAATATATCACTGTCACCAAAACGGCGCACAGAATTCTAAAAACGAACCCTAGCGATGCAGCAGGGGTTGGGCACATGGTCGTGGACCTATCGCGGGGTACATGACTCGTAAGCTGGCAATGACATGCGAATTACACTGCACTGTGTGGTGGCGATTCATTCATCACTCATCGGCATTCATTGATGACGACCATGATGGTAATTCACCAACTCTCCAATAATTAAATCCGGGCTAAATTATATATCCGCTGTCTATACTCATTGATTATAATGTGGTCAGTTTATAGAGCTTCATATTCCGTATAATTAAGGTTCTTCCGTCTGGCTAAATATAACAAAGTGCTTGGTCAATTATTGACCTTAATTGATCCAATTCTATGCTAATGTTCTGAATTTGCAACAAACGTTTTGTATGAAAGAAACTACTCTGTACTTATTATTTTGTACGTAGCCATTGAGCACAATAAGAGAGAGCAGTGATTATTTGACCAGGTGAAAAACGTTACGATGAATGATCTATATGATTTTTTTTCAAGAGAGCCATTGCAAGGGGTAATGCACTGCATATGTATGTTTGCCTTTTATGTACGATATAATGCAGACGTTAGATGTTGTGTAATATACATTTGCAATAAATATGATATAATATAGAGGAATACAGGTGTTTGAGATCTTTAAAAGGGTTAGGTTGCTCATATGATATTAGAGAATATTTGATCATTATAAACTACCATAACCCCTCTGCTAATCAATATGAAGTGATATTTAAAAAGTGCCAGTGATTTCCTGCTCAATTGAGTGTGGATCTGTGCTCTCATCTTTTTTTATAAACCCTGAGCTGATGGTGGAATTTCTCAATTCCTCAGGCGTGGGTGAGGTTTTCCTAAGTGAAACTACTGTTAATATTCTCACAAAACGGTTCTCATTTTCATTAATTCCAGAGGAATTGAACCTTCAGCCTTACAATTGCGTGACAAACATCAGAGATTTTACTACTGCAGCACCCGGCTAGTTTTTTTTGTTATCAAGATGCACGTTTGTTTGTTTCCACGTTTGAGATGGAGTGCGAAATTACTACTTTATCTTAATAACGAATCATTTTTTTTATTGGACAGATATAACTTTGATTGCGCAGAATTTAAATCCGAAAAGAATATGAACATTTCAAGAGGTTTTGGGAGAATCTTCTAGACAGACAAATAACCTTGTACCAATAAATGTTTATATTATTCCTGATTCAAAATAAATTTACCGGCACACATTTATGTACGTACCTTTCGATATTAAAAAGACTGGGTGAAAATCATCAGTAAAATCAGACTGACCACAAGGTTCGTACAGTACTGAGATTTCAACTTAGAATATTCCAATTGAGAGTCATGTGCTGCAACCACAGTCTCACCAGCTGGGAGGTAAGACTTTGTGAGGCTCAAATTATGGAATAATGCATAGATCACAAAATACCATGTATTGTGCAGTATTTTGGATGTACTATATCTTGAACTTCTTTCGCACCGTACGCCGTCAACCGTGCTAATTGGAGGTGCAGATTGTTAAAATGTAGACCCTGCAGATAATCCTTGACCATAGTAGCTTGTTTGTTTAGAATTCAGTGTTATGTTCATGACGAAATAACCTTAATTTAACTTGTAACAACTACAAAAAAACATTTTTGTGGATATATGGGAATTTTAATGTGTTACTTTTCGAGCTATGGAATGACTTACCTCTGGCATGATGACTGGTTACAGCATTCAACTCACAACCAGAAGGCTAAAATAGAAATCGCAGTCGAGTGTTCAACAAAACCTACGTTCATGCATTGGTCAATAAAATTGTTACCGTGTCGTGGGAATTCAATGGTGATTATTGTATGTAGAGACTGGTCCCCATCATAGTAACGTGGAATTTCCAATATTTACAGTGCTCACGACGAATACATATATGAGCATAACCCAATCCCGTTAAAGCAGGGAGACACTTTGATTTAACAACACGTGCTGTATCGTATTGATATGGAATACAAATTACATGCAAGGTGGCTGGGTGGCTCAGAGATAAGAGTGCTGAGCTGGCATTGGTGAGATTCTGGGTTTGAATCCGAGTAGCTGCCTGTGATTCAGCCGGGGTTCTCAAGTGTCATGGGTTGATGGTCTCGGCTTGGTTACTAATAACTGCACGAAAAAATCCCATCACATTAACTTTGGTTCTTCATTTGATGTGGCAAAATTCCAGCATTGAGATTTAAAACATCGGTCTGACCGTCATGCAATGAACATGACTGCCATATGCAGTGGGTGAAAAAGAGCTGCCCTCTGCTGCGTGGATCAGAGGTCACTTGAATATGTAGCTCTGTGATGTCCACTTCCATTGGTTGTGCTCTAACATGAAGGGCTGCACTGGTATGCGAGAGATCCAAATGGAAATTGAATCAAATAACATGATGCTGACAACACAATTGGGATGCAATTGGGGGTGGGGAGGGAATTCATAATCAGAACCTAAAGAAACATATGACGTAATAATGACAATTTCTAGTGGTCTAACATGGCAAACCATCACGAGGATGCTGGCTTGCACCCAATTATACGTGTTGTGGTAAAGCTAAATTATATCAGCGTGGTTCCATTGCTCGTTAGTCAGGACACACTTTAAATTTCACCTTGAGTTTCATTATACCATATGCCTGTATTCCCATTAAATGATCCCATAATTTTGCCCTGTATCATTTGTTGTTGTCTTTTCAGGTTTATTATGCCAACAAGCTGAAGGTGGCTGTGATTGGACAGAGCCTGTTCGGACAGGAGGTGTACAAGTCCTTGCGGAAGGAGGGCCATGCTATCGTGGGGGTATTCACCATCCCTGATATCAATGGAAAACCCGACCCCTTGGGTAAGTTTCGTACTTGGCTTAGCACAGTTGCATCAGTGATTATTCTATTCATATTATTATTTATATTGCATTGTGTGTGCAAATTTTCACTAAGAATACGTTATCATGGGGAAATGTAGTATTGCTGAATGTTATAAAATGTTCATGTTGTGGGGTGGTGATCGTGGGGGTCTGCGATGGGGTGCCACGGTGGCGAGATATTATCTCCGTCACCTGGTATGTAGGAGGTTGTGGGTTCGATCCCGACTCTGACGCTTGTATATTTCGAGTTTGCATGTTCTCCCCATGGTCGCATGGATTTTTCTCCTGGTCCTCCGGTTTTCCCCTCTACGTTTAGAAGCGTGCGTTTTAGGATATTTGGTTGCAATACAAGCCCACGTGATAAGCCACTTTGTTGAGCTATCATTTGTGGCTAGGTCGCTTCTGAAAAAGAGCTATATAGTTCAGTGTGCCTTACCTGGTAAATTTTAAAAAAAGTTAAAATATTTTTTGGTTTATGATCCTGAGGCAGTGGGTGATGTTACATGTTCTTATGGCAAGGTATAGTTGGCCCATTCAACAAAAAGCGCATTTGAATTCCCTCAAAGTGGTGGTGATTTTATCGTGCAAAATTTGAACTCGTGACCTAAGTATGAGTCAAGCACTGTAACCAGTGTCACCAATCAGATCTCTTTTTTATTATCAGATATTGGGTCTTTGGAAATGTTACTGTTTGGTGAACTGAAACAGTAAAGCAGACTCGCACTTCAAGCCTTAAGAATACAGTTCCAAAAGACAAATTAATATAATTGCATAAACTAGTCATTATTTGAATCATTAAATAGAGAAAGCAATCATTGGGAGAATAACACTATGTAACACAATTTTTGTTCCTGGGTAGTAAGTGTTATTTCGTAATTGCTTATGCCTAAAAAGTATAGAAAATGGCTATTATTCCCCACAAACTTTGCTTTTGTGACCTGGACAGTGATATTTGTTAATGTACATATTTTCAATGAGAAAACGGGCGAATTTGTGTTTTTTCGTTCACATAGTCAGAAAAAAACGACATGAATCAAAATTAACATGTATTTATACTAAAGAAATACAAAAATGACTACAAAAGATTTAGAGTGAGTAGTTTTTTGAGATGTACAATTATACTGTAAATGACTTTCACGAATCAGCCCCCAAATGTAGTCTCCCATCATATTCTCGTTATACTGTCCTTGGTAGCGGCGTTCAAAGTCCAGTATATCCTGGTGGAAGCGCTCGCCTTGCTCCTCCGAGTACGTTCTCATGTTCTCCTTGAATTTATCAAGATAAGCATCAAGGATATGGACTTTGAGGGACATCCTACAGCCCATTGTGCCGTAGTTCTTCACCAGAGTCTCAACCAGCTCCACATAGTTTTCAAGCTTGTGATTGCCCGAGCATACTCGGAGGATCAAGGCGAGCGCTTCCACCAGGATATACTGGACTTTGAACGCCGCTACCAAGGACAGTTTAACGAGAACATGATGGGAGACTACATTTGGGGGTTGATTCGTGAAAGTTATTTACAGTACAATCGTAAATCTCAAAAAACGACTCACTTCTAAATCTTTTGTAGTTATTTTTTTATTACTTTAGTATAAATACATGTTAATGTTGATTCATATGTTGTTGTTTTCTGACTTCATGTGAACGAAAAGACACAGATTCGCCCGTTTTCCCATTTGAAAATAGGTACATTTCAAAATATCACTGTCCTGGTCACAAAAGCAAAGTTTGTGGGGAATAATAGCCATTTTCTGTATTTTTGAGGCATAAGCATTTAGGAAATAACACATACTACCCAGGTACAAAAAAATAAAGTTATTACACAGTGTAATCAATATGTTTGGTAAGAACTCACAATCAAACCTCTCTGTGGTGTGATCCTTACACAATTGAAATGGAAATCTCACCTAAATAAAACGATTTATTTGGTGATACTGTGTTGGTAGGGGTGCACAAGCACTAATAACATTTCTTAATAACATTGCCTTCAAAAGGAAAAATATTTAAAGGCAATGTTTTATGCAATAGCCCTTCTTAATAGGCCTAATGGCGTAAAGTGCAGTCGCCAACTCCTATTCACTTTGCCTCTGGCCTTTCTACAGTGAGGGAAAAAAAGTATTTGATCCCCTGCTGATTTTGTACGTTTGCCCACTGACAAAGAAATGATAAGTCTATAATTTTAATTGTAGCTTTATTTTAACAGTGAGAGACAGAATAACAACAAAAAAATCCAGAAAAACGCATGTCAAAAATGTTATAAATTGATTTGCATTTTAATGAGGGAAATAAGTATTTAACCCCTTCTGCAAAACATGACTTACTACTTGGTGGCAAAACCCTTTGTTGGCAATCACAGAGGTCAGACGTTTCTTGTAGTTGGCCACCAGGTTTGCACACATCTCAGGAAGGATTTTGTCCCACTCCTCTTTGCAGATCTTCTCCAAGTCATTAAGGTTTCGAGGCTGACGTTTAGAAACTCGAACCTTCAGCTCCCTCCACAGATTTTCTATGGGATTAAGGTCTGGAGACTGGCTAGGCCACTCCAGGACCTTAATGTGCTTCTTCTTGAGCCACTCCTTTGTTGCCTTGGCCATGTGTTTTGGGTCATTGTCATGCTGGAATACCCATCCACGACCCATTTTCAATGCCCTTGCTGAGGGAAGGAGGTTCTCACCCAAGATTTGACGGTACGTGGCCCCGTCCATCGTCCCTTTGATGAGGTGAAGTTGTCCTGTCCCCTGAGCAGAAAAACACCCCCAAAGCATAATGTTTCCACCTCCATGTTTGACGGTGGGGATGGTGTTCTTGGGGTCATAGGCAGCATTTTTCCTCCTCCAAACACGGCGAGTTGAGTTGATGCCAAAGAGCTCCATTTTGGTCTCATCTAACCATAACACTTTTACCCAGGTGTCTTCTGAATCATTCAGATGTTCATTGGCAAACATCAGACGGGCATGTATATGTGCTTTCTTGAGCAGGGGGACCTTGCGGGCACTGCAGGATTTCAGTCCTTCACGACGTAGTGTGTTACCAATTGTTTTTTTGGCGACAATGGTCCCAGCTGCCTTGAGATCATTGACAAGAGCCTCCTGTGTAGTTCTGGGCTGATTCCTCACCGTTCTCATGATCATTGCAACTCCACGAGGTGAGATATTGCATGGAGCCCCAGGCCAAGGGAGATTGACAGTTCTTTTGTGTTTCTTCCATTTGCGAATAATCGCACCAACTGTTGTCACCTTCTCACCAAGCTGCTTGGCAATGGTCTTGTAGCCCATTCCAGCATTGTGTAGGTCTACAATCTTGTCCCTGACATCCTTGGAGAGCTCTTTGGTCTTGGCCATGGTGGAGAGTTTGGAATCTGATTGATTGATTGATTGCTTCTGTGGACAGGTGTCTTTTATACAGGTAACAAGCTGAGATTAGGAGCACTCCCTTTAAGAGTGTGCTCCTAATCTCAGCTCGTTACCTGTATAAAAGACACCTGGGAGCCATAAATCTTTCTGATTGAGAGGGGGTCAAATACTTATTTCCCTCATTAAAATGCAAATCAATTTATAACATTTTTGACATGCGTTTTTCTGGATTTTGTTGTTGTTATTCTGTCTGTCACTGTTCAAATAAACCTATCATTAAAATTATAGACTGATCATTTCTTTGTCAGTGGGCAAACGTACAAAATCAGCAGGGGATCAAATACTTTTTTCCCTCACTGTATCTGCTTTGACGAAAAGGCCATGGTCTATTGTGTACTTTTTCTTTTAAGGCCACAGGTTTTTTTCATGAATGTGATATCAAATAACTTAATTAAGTCAAACAATTATTAATAGTATAGAGGCTATAAGTTACAAATGAATAAAACCCATTCAATGAAAAGTGTTCGTGCCTAAATTAAGTGTCCTTTTTATGTATTAAGTGAAGCTATTTTTGAATGTCAGATGAGTTCACTCAGACCACAGGGAACAAACATTTAATGAATAAAGGCATGATTCATCCTTTACTCTTCCTACACAGTCTGCAACGTGATAAATGTGCTATTAGTTTAGCTTTTGTTTCGTCGTGTGCACAACTGCACCTCCGATTGGCACAGTTGGGTATGTACGGCGCGAAAGAAGTTCTACATACAGACATACAACTGCATTGTCAGCTAACGGGTTAAAAAAATAAACATTTTATTGCCTTTGTGCAACTGTGTTCCTACATTTTCTGAATTTCAAACAGCACTCTTAGAATTTTTGCAATTGTCATTTGGGCAGTGCACACACTTCCAGGCAGTGCTCCAAGTGACAAATTAAATGGACATTTTAAGAGTCCTCATCAAAACGAGGTTTATATTTGCCAGTGATGACGCATTTATTGCTTCACGTGGAATGTAATTATAGCCAGCTCACTGAGCCAGATTCGCAGCGTCTGCCATTCTCTCATCCGTCAATTAAGTGTCCTTTAATTTCTCAGGAGAATACTGAACAATAAAGCATTGCAGTGCTCGGTCATATACTGCCATGATTAGCTGCTGCCATCTAAATACCATTAAAAAAAACAGTGGGTGTATGTACGTACATTGAACTTATTTTCACCGTACCATATACATTTTCACATCGAGGCTCTATGTTCGTCCAGTGCTCGCCGAGCTGCATTGGCTTCTGGTTGTCGAACGAATACGTTTGAAGTTCGCAGTCATTACACACAAAGTGCTTGCCACAAATGAACCACAACACCGAACTGATCTCATCAAGATCAAGGAGCATAAACCATCACGCCAACTCCGGTCATCCTCGCAGCAGCATTTGGATGGCCATCGAACAATGACGGTCACTTCATTGTGCGCTTTCAGATGCACTTCTGCGGCCATCTGGAATGCTCTTCCTTCCGACATTAGAAAGCCACCGGAGCTGTGCACTTTTAAATCTAGATTGAAAACTAATTTCTTTAGAACTGATTTTTGTGTTTAGTTTGTTGTCCTTCCCCCGCACCTCCGATCAGCATGGTAGACTGTGTGCTGTGTGAAAGAAGTTCAACATAATACATACATACATGGTTCTGAAGCAGTGGTCAAAATTCCACGTTCCTATGGAATGGCCCATACAATCCATAGGACAACCACTGCAGGTGCATTAACCATAAATACGTGCCGTCTTCTTCACAGCGGAGATTGAAGGTCCCCTAATGTTAAATACAAATTAGTAGGCCTTGTGTGTTGAAGTCATTATCTACTTTTTCAAAATTTGATAAATTACTTGCAAAATTCATAATTGGGAAAACCCATAGAGCAACACCCTCTCCTCCTGGCAGACTAATGCAGACTAATTCCCATTTTCAGGCCAGTGCTGGTTTCACGTTCCACATAAGGCTGGCTGCCACTGGGGATCCCCTTGACGAAACTCTATAGTAAGGCATTGGAATAGTTCAGATGAGATGTGCTTTGAGACACCTCGAGTTACCAAGACATTTAAGCACGTGCCCTATTCATGCAAATCCTTTCTGTTGATTTCCCACAACATGGTACTTATTTGAATGACCCCAGAGACAAGAAGGCCGACATCAACCCAAAGCTGTGATGTGAACTCTTATCGCACGGGGACCCTCGTGTATTAACTTCTCAGCTGCTCTGCACTCCGATAGCTTTGGTGGCCGACAAGGAGGGGACGCCCGTGTTCAAGTTCCCTCGTTGGAGGACGAAGGGAAAGCCCATTCCGGAGGTGCTGGAGGCGTACAAGTCCCTCGGAGCCCAGCTCAACGTGCTGCCCTTCTGCTCGCAGTTCATCCCCATGGACGTCATAGATCACCCAAGCCACGGCTCCATCATTTACCACCCGTCCCTGCTGCCTCGCCACCGCGGTGCCTCCGCCATCAATTGGTAGGTTCCGCTTCTCGCTCAGGCTCGCGTGCGATACTGGACGCCGCCACGGTTGTTTTTGGGCACGTAGCGAACAGCCGATTGAAATTGCCGCAGGCCCTGCCCAACGATGCGTGCATCGAAGTGCAAATTACGTGCACATTTTTTTCACAATGACGACCTTTACATTTGTGGGAAGAACAAGACTGAACAATGTGAGACAGGTACAGATTAGAGAGACGATACGAAACAGAGGGTACAAATAAGAAAGACATTCCTTGAATGAAACGATACTAAATTCGTGAATTAATTGAATTGTGAGGAATGGAGGTAAATCGTTATATATACTCATTAGATTTATTCTGAGTGGAATAGTGACACAGGACAGCTGAAAGTGTTGTATCCAATACATACAGTACTTGGATTGGTGATATCTGCAATTATTGTGATTCCAGCATCGTTATTCTGGACGTGTGATTAATATAACAGCGATACTAACACATTAATATTGCTTGTCAATTTATGGATTTTGATGCCTTGGAAAATAGTGAAGGCTCACCGACAGCTAATTACTCCGGATTTTTTACGAGTGAGTAGTGAAGGTTTTCTGAGAGGTCACATTCACCCAGGCACAGGCGTTACTGATAGAGTAGCAAGTACTTACTGGGCAGGTATAAGTGAACAATCGCAGTATCAGCTATCGATGGAGGCACGAAAGTCCCCTGACAGGCGGGGCATTTAACAGACCCGTGCGTTATTGATAACGTGGTAAAGGCTGGCTTATGTGTCACAACAAGTACAGGCCTAAGTGCTTTGGATGTATTGGAAGAGACTGACAGACAGCCCAGCCCGTTAAGTCTCCGGACATCACCATTGTACCGGGGGCATTCATTGCACTCATAACACTGCGCACGCAATCCAGCATGAGATGCATTGATTTGTGGAACTCCCACACGTGCCGGGCAGTAAGACCAATTGGGCCTATGAGCACGTCTGTGTCGACCTCTCAGTATTGTCCCCACGTGTACATTGATTATGTCCTTGGGCACGGGTCCTCTCCAACAGGCAAAACGCTCCTTGAAAATTGAATTGGCCAAAACTTCCCAGATTTTCCTTAAAAAAAAATGCATCCTTATCATTACTGTATTCTCAGTCTATATCAGAGAGCTGAGCAAATCAACGTTAAGAACTGGCAATACCACCAGCAGCAGCAGCAGGCAATGCTTTATAACCGAGAGAAAAATTGAGCTGCTCAATTCAGTTCCCGAAGAAGCTTCCACCAGATGCAGCAAAACGTCAGACATCTTGCCGAACAACACACGGTACAACCCGAACACACATCGGCAGGTCACTGGGTATGGCGCCGTACAGCACGAAAACCAACGCAGTGGTAAAGCATCATTGTGTGTGTTTGTGTGTGTGTGGGTGGGTGGGTGGGTGGCTCGCAGGTGGAGGGGTGGTGTAGCGGTTAGCGCACTGCGCTTCAAAACCGGCAACCGAAGTTCGAATCCCATTTACGGCCAACACCAGTGACGATTATTCGATTTAAAGCTTGATCTGAAACGGTCCTGGGCCTCCCCTAGGTCGACTCCAATTAGTACCTGGTGTGGCGTATAAACATAGCCACTGGCGAGACAAAGGCGGCCGGGCGTTGTGTTGGCCACCCACCTGCTCGTGTGCCGTGCCGGCCTTCATAGGCGCTGCTCGCTAACGGCACTTGTCCCCCACAGTCTGTTAATAGGCTATATGGGGGTGGGGGGGGGTCTTTGTCTTTTGTGGCTTGCAGGACTCTGATCCACGGGGACCAGCGTGGAGGCCTCAGCGTGTTCTGGGCCGACGCCGGCCTCGACACGGGGCCCTTGTTGCTACAGCGTGAGTGCCGCGTCGAGCCCAACGACACGGTGGACTCGCTCTACAACCGCTTCCTCTACCCCGAGGGCATCAAGGCCATGGTGAGCGTGGCGCGCCGCTGAGCTGAGTGTTGCGTCGAGCCGTGCGGTGCAGAGGGCTGGGAATGGGGAGATATTATGGGGGGAACTCATAAATGATTCCCCCCAACCACCCCCACTAGATCTGGACCGTACACTAGATCTGAAGAGGAGGAGCTTCGCTCCTTATGTGGGTATCTGTGCACGTCTGTGGGTCTCTGCCCGTGTCTGTGGGTCTCTGTGTGTGTCTTCGGGTGTCTGTGTTTGTGGGTTTATGTGTTTATCTGTGGGTGTCTGTAGGAATCTGTGCTCCTCTGAGCCCTCTGTGTTTGTGGGTTTCTGTGCGCGTTTTTGGGTCTCTGTGCGCGTCTGTGGGCATCTGTGCTCCTCTGTGGATCTTTGTGCGCATCTGTGGGTAGTCGTGCATGTCTGTGGGTCTCTATGCATGTCTGTGGGTCTCTCTGTTAGTCTAGAGGCCTATCTATGTAAAAAAAAAGATTCATCTTTAATTCCTCACGGAATGCAGTTGGGTTAAAATGTTCACTCCTACCACTGCGTTTCGGGGAATTCCGGCTCATTTCCACCACTGACCGTGCATGAGTGCTGTGCACCACTTCATGTTGTTGTGCATTGTTCTATGCATTGCAGTGTGGCGTTACATAATGTATTACAAAGGTATTTGTTGTGTTGAATAATGCAGTATCGTGCTGTGTGATGCATTGCATTGTTGTGCATTGTGTTTGGCAAGGCAGTGTGGTGATATGTAATTTATTATGCTATTACACATTGTGTTATACATTATGGTGTGGCATTAAATAACGAATTATTGCAATGCTGTGTGTGTTTTATTGAGCAGCGTGTTATGTTATGCAATACATGCAGTGATATGCATTATTGGGAGTCATTGTGGCATTAAGTATTGCAGCATTATGCAGATAATTGCAGTTATATGTAATGTAGGTAATTTATTAATTATGTCTACAATGTGACAACTGTTCAGTGGCAAGTGAGAATGTACATAATATAAATGTATCACACGTAAAAAAACTTATCACAGGTTAAGCTTATTCCCAGTCACATCAATTCTTATTTAAAATATAGTGATATTGGTTAGAAAATCTTCAGTTTTGTCACAGGAGAGCTCAATACAATAATTGCCTGTGCGATACATACATCAGCATCTTCCTGTATCACAAATCACGTCTTTCCAGATATATCTGACGTCTGTGAAGAAACTACTGGACATCTGCGAAAACTACAGGCACACAGACACACAAAGACAAAGATCCCCCGTATAGCCTTAACACACTGTTGGTGCAAGGGATGTTAGTGAGCACCTATGAAGGCCGGCACGGCACACGACGCGGTGGGTGTCACAAAGACAAAGATCCCCCGTTCAGCCTTAACGGACTTTTGGGGCAGGTGCTGTTAGCGAGACACAGACCAACAGTGTAAATAAATATTCTGATTCTGATATACAGTAAAACCTTGGGTTGCGAGTAACTTGGTCTGCGAGTGTTTTGCAAGACGAGCAAAATTTTTAGGTACATATTAATTTGATAAACGAGCGAGGGTCTTGCTATATGAGTAGTACGTATACGCTTTGTCTGCCGAGCGTCACGTGATCACAACTGATATACGATTGCTTTGATATACGAGTGCTTTGGATTACAAACACGTTTCCGGAACGAATTATGCTCGCAATCCAAGGTTTTGCTGTATATATATTTTGTATCATGGCCCAATCTACCCATGTCATCTTGCCGTTGAATACATCTCTTTAGTTCAGTCAAAGCTCTTTGGTGTAACTTCTATTTGTGTATTGCAATCTGGCCTTCCTGCACCTGGTTGAAAAATATTGCCACTTAAAAGTTCCATCGCGTGCCAGTGTCGTGCATGGCCTCTTGTCATGCGGTCCAACACGGTAATGCATTGAGCAATGCCCTTGTGCCGTGCACACCGTAGACCAGTACTGCAACCGCGTGTAATATCACATTGTTCAGACGGAAGCCGTTCAGCTGATTGCCGACGGAAAAGCCCCCAGGATACCGCAAACAGAAGAAGGAGCTTCGTATGAAGGCATACAACATAAAGAAGCTGCACAGGTACGGCGACTATCTCACGTTTCTGCCTTACGCATACACCACAAGGTCTTGTGCTTTTTGACGTGTTCAGGCGACCGCATACAAGCCTGTGTCATTGCCTATGGTGTTAAAATCCCCATGCTAATAGTAGTGACAACCTTAAATAATCTAGACTGAAGTCAGCTAAGGTCGGTCTGAGCACTTTGGCTCTGTCAATGCGAAGCATGTCATTGATGGATGTATGGGTATTTGGCCTCATATACCGTTGCAATATCCCCAGTGAGTGGCTAGCCACTCCTACACCTGTTGAACCTGCTATCTGAAACACGCTGCCGCTTGTATGCAATGCGGGCTCCATTTCAGTCCTTGCTCAAGACCTGTCTTCTCCTTCGCTTGTGATTGACTGCCTACTAATCCAATTCCTTCATTCTCTCTATGGAATTGAATGGAAACTGTGTGCATCACGCATACAAAATTATAATGATAATTAAACCCAGATTGAAAGATGTAAATTATTCCTCGGGTCATTAATTATTTACATAACCTTCTTGGTTCTTTCGGTAAAGTCACGGAGAATGGGAATAAAATAATAAAATAAAATTAAACAATAAAATTCTCACAACGTTTCGGCCACAACACAAGTGGCCTTCTTCAGGTGAAGAGACAGGTCTGTCCAGAAGACAGAGCTTGAATGAACGCTGTCATGCATGGACCGCGTCTATTAAGCTGTGTGGGCGGAGTTAAAATATGAATTTGCATGTTACCAGCATCACCTCCGGAGAGGAGGAGGGAGGGGGCTGAGAACACAGGCAGAGAGGAGAAAAGAAAAAAGAAAAGGGGCAAGTGCAACAGCCTGGTGCGCTGTTGTGTCCTGAGTTGCCTTATGACTGTGCTAAAAGAGGATCCTTCTGAGGAGCCATTCAAAACCATCACCTTACTCTTTGGTTCTATTGGGTAAAGTCACGTACTTGAAAATAAAATAACAAAAAATCACGACGTTTCGGCCACAACACAAGCGGCCTTCATTAGGTGAAGGGACGAGACTGTCTGGAGGACAGCGCTGGAGTGGAAGAAGCCACGCTAAGATCACGACCTTTAAGCTGTATGAGAAGAAAAACACCAAGTGCCTTGACAAAGGAATTAGCATATAATTTAGCATTGAAATGGCTCATTGAAATAGCTAAGTTAAAGTATACACATCCACAGAGGTACCCCTTGACAAAGGAATTAGCATAGAATTTAGCATTGAAATAGCTGAGTGATTAGCTTGTAACTGGTCACAGAAATAGCTATGTTAAAGTTAGAGCATATACATTCACCGAGGCACCTAGTACTCATCAAACAGGAGAATTTAGCGAAACACAACCACGCTCAGACAGCGGACCTTTAAACTGTGTGCGAGCAAACAAGGTGTTCTGACAAAGAAATTAGCATAAAAATTAGCATTTGATTGGCGGATTTTAGGAAAGAGGTGGTGTACGTGCCGGTGGACTTGCCGTTTGGCGCGGGGGGGGGGGAAGGGGGGGAGGGGGAGTTTACCTATTGATGGTGTGAAAAGGGAATTTATAAGAGCTGCGAAAGTTTGGGGTACCACTACTTGAAAAATATACTGTACCATTGAAATTAGTTTAATGTTTAGTTCGATTTAGAACATCTTTCCAATGGTTGCTTAATTTGAAACCATCCTCTCGGTTGAAATTGTGTCTGTGTTTGTAGATCTGAATTGCTTCATGAACAAATCTCTGATAAAAGCCCGTGGGTTTGCAAAGAACCTTGGTATCGGAGAAAATTATATCGTGATCCCCCACAGCGTTGTAACAGTGATCAGCCACGGCAGAAGAATTCGTTTTGCCGTGTTTCAAATCTAATTTGTGCTCGCGAATTCGGTCAGAGACATGTCGCTTTGTCTCACCGATATAGCAATCACCGCAGGTACAACTCAATTTGTAAACCCCGGGGTACTGTAAATCAGGAATGACATCCTTCACGGATGGGATCAGATCACGAATTTTGTGTACTGTATTGAATCGGACCTGGATCTTGTGTTTGTTTAGAATTTTGGAAATCTTTTTAGTAACACCTATTATATATGGAAGTGTGATGGTCTTGACCGGAGTATGTTAAGTACTTAACTCAGCCCAATTGGTCTCTATGGTCAAAGACGTTGTACTGTCCCCTGACGATATCCTTGTCAGCTTCGATGTGGTCTCTTTGTTCACCAAGGTCCCAGTACCTGATACCATTGAAATAATTGAAAATTTGGTCCAACATGGACTAGACCCCGACACATCTGCACTGGTTAGGCACTGCCTCAACAATACCTACTTTACTTGGAATGGCTCCTTCTACAAACAAAATGAGGGTACTCCCATGGGATCCCCCTTATCACCAGTGATAGCCAATATTTCCATGGAGAAATTTGAATCAGACGCCATCCAGACTTCCACCCTCAGACCTTCCCTGTGGAAGAGATATGTGGATGACACTTTCGTCATTTGGCCACATGGCCTCCCAGCTCTGAACCTTTTCCTACACCACATCAATTCCAGACATCCCGCCATCAAATTCACCATGGAAGTGGAGAAAGATGGCAAGCTACCATTCTTAGATGTTCTGTTTGAGAGGAGACCTGATGGCTCATTGGGGCATTCTGTCTACAGGAAACCCACCCACACAGATTCCTACTTGAAACCTGATTCCCACCACCACCCAGCCCAAAAGAATTCTCTCATCAAATCTTTATACGATAGGGCTCATTGCATTTCGGACCAACACCACCTGACCAGTGAATTAAAACATGTACACCTGGCCCTCAAAAGCAATGGTTACTCTGACCGTACCATCCGCCAAGCTGTCTCTCCCTCCATACAGAAACAACCACTTGATACTCCGGTCAAAACCATCACACTTCCATATATAGTAGGTGTTACTAAAACCATTTCCAAAATTCTAAACAAACACAAGATCCAGGTCCGGTTCAATACAGTACACAAAATTCGTGATCTGATCCCATCCGTGAAGGATGTCATTCCTGATTTACAGTACCCCGGGGTTTACAAATTGAGTTGTACCTGCGGTGATTGCTATATCGGTGAGACAAAGCGACATGTCTCTGACCGAATTCGCGAGCACAAATCAGATTTGAAACACGGCAAAACGAATTCTTCTGCCGTGGCTGATCACTGTTACAACGCTGTGGGGGATCACGATATAATTTTCTCCGATAGCAAGGTTCTTTGCAAACCCACGGGCTTTTATCAGAGATTTGTTCATGAAGCAATTCAGATCTACAAACACAGACACAATTTCAACCGAGAGGATGGTTTCAAATTAAGCAACCATTGGAAAGATGTTCTAAATCGAACTAAACATTAAACTAATTTCAATGGTACAGTATATTTTTCAAGTAGTGGTACCCCAAACTTTCGCAGCTCTTATAAATTCCTTTTCACACCATCAATAGGTAAACTCCCCCTCCCCCCCTTCCCCCCCCCCCCGCGCCAAACGGCAAGTCCACCGGCACGTACACCACCTCTTTCCTAAAATCTGCCAATCAAATGCTAATTTTTATGCTAATTTCTTTGTCAGAACACCTTGTTTGCTCGCACACAGTTTAAAGGTCCGCTGTCTGAGCGTGGTTGTGTTTCGCTAAATTCTCCTGTTTGATGAGTACTAGGTGCCTCGGTGAATGTATATGCTCTAACTTTAACATAGCTATTTCTGTGACCAGTTACAAGCTAATCACTCAGCTATTTCAATGCTAAATTCTATGCTAATTCCTTTGTCAAGGGGTACCTCTGCGGATGTGTATACTTTAACTTAGCTATTTAAATGAGCCATTTCAATGCTAAATTATATGCTAATTCCTTTGTCAAGGCACTTGGTGTTTTCCTTCTCACACAGCTTAAAGGTCGTGATCTGAGCGTGGCTTCTTCCACTCCAGCGCTGTCCTCCAGACAGTCTCGTCCCTTCACCTGATGAAGGCCGCTTGTGTTGTGGCCGAAACGTCGTGATTTTTTGTTATTTTATTTTCAAGTACGTGACTTTACCCAATAGAACCAAAGAGTATGGATCCTAGCAGTCACGACAGCTTTAAATCTAGAACCATCACCTTACTCTACATTGGGGGGGGTCACAAAAAAGATCTACAAAATCCTGAATAAACACAAGATCCAGGTCCGATTCAACACAGTACATAAAATCCGTGATCTGGTTCCATCTGTAAAAGATGCAGTTCCAGACATACAGTACTCGGGCGTTTACAAACTAAAGTGCCTCTGTGGTAGCAGCTACATTGGAGAAACCAAACGACATATCTCGGACCGCATCCGCGAACATAAAGCAGACTTGAAACACGGTAGGACGAACTCCTCAGCCGTGGCAGATCACTGTTATAATTCAGTAGGCTCACATGACATTGACTTTTCCAAGACAGAGGTTATTTGCAAGCCAACCGGCTACCATGAGAGATTCGTTCATGAGGCCATCCACATATACAAGCACAGAGACAATTTCAACCGAGAAGATGGATTCTGGCTTAGTAACCATTGGAAAGATGTTTTAAACCATTTCGGTTCTTAATTAATTGTATTTTACGGTGACTTTCAGACCGCAGCCCTTTCGCTGGCACTGCCTCTTAATACCTCTCACACCACGGTCAATGGTTTGGTTTATAACATGTAGTATAATAATTAATAGTATAACATTGTAATGTTTAACATTACTCAAGACAATATATAGCATCGCAATTGCATAGTGAATATACAGCAGTGTGGTATATAGTTGGGTTCATAGAATAAGACATAGTGTAATATCACAAGTCTAATAGTTTATAATCTAAAGTATAGGGTAGTGTAAAGTAACGCATTGTATAATTCAAAGGTGGAATTTGTCTATGATATGATGTTATACCATATATTTTAGATTGGAAGGTATAATATTGTATGATATATTAGTCCAGTTTTTAGCATAGTCATGAGGCAACTCAGGACACAACAGCGCACCTTGGCTGTTGCTCTTGC